GAGTTGAACTAGGCAGAGTGAAAAAGGGTTGTATACTGGATAAGAAAAGGAAAGCATTGCACACCATAGGATGCGTTTGTTTGGCTAACGTTTCTGTTTTGATCACTGGGTAATTGTATAGAGCAGGGGTGTACGGTAGAGAAATAAAATCTATATCTAGAAGTTATTGACTTTATGTACAAAAGCACTGGTTGGTGCCTATTTTTGTGGACCACTCCATCTTAAAAATAACTTTGGTTTTGTACAGCCTAGTTGTGGTGGAAAAGGAGCTCCAAAGAGTAAGCAAGTTTCCTACAAAAAGAATCCAAGCTGTTGAAACTACAATTAAGAAATGCAAAGAGTTACTAATTTTACTACTTAGAGGAAAGGAAATTTACAAGCAGGAAAGAAACTGTGGATCAGGGCAAGTTGTAACTGTAGAGGTTCAGAGATAGGAGCCCTAATTACACCAGGGCAAGAGAGGACTGTTTGGGGAAATTTCTGAAAGATGAAATAGGAAAGCTAAGGGTCAAAATGATATTGTGATGAGAATAGAGAAGACATGTTTGCACGGAGCTCAGCTGGGTAATCATGAAAAGGAGGAGGAGCGAGGGAGGAAACTGAAAATCGAAATAAAGAACAGAAGCACAGACCATGAAATATGCCAAATATAGTGTGCAAATACTCAGAAGGCATGGAAAGATAAGTTAGAAGCCAAAACTCAGTTATCACTATCGTGTGAAGGAACAATAGAACTCTTAGCAAAAACAAATGACTTAGCATGAGACCAATACGCTTTCCTTAGGTAGCTTGGTGCAGAGGGAAAAGGCTGATATCACTCCCTATCAAGGGTTTTTAGAACGTTTAAGTGAGCTCTACAAGCGGGAGACACGGTGATGATTATTGACAGTTGTTATCTTTCAAGGGGAAGAAGCAAACTGACGTTCCACATTAGAATTCATTAGCACCAAGGAACACAGATTACAGAAATACTGGGAGGACTTCTGTCTCCTGAGCACATTAAGCAATATTTGCAAATGTGTGCAGGTAAGTGTTGACTCTCTCATCATGCTGGACCAGGAAATGGTTCTCAGCAAATCATGGCATGATTTTTTTTCAAAGTTGGGTACATGAATATTATCATAACCAGCTAAGAGCAGGGAGACGTGGCATGGGAGACTAACAGTGCAGCTTTTAAGAGAAGACATAGAAATCAATCTAGTAACAAATATTTATTGAGCATTGGAGTGTGCTAGGCACCAAGAGAAAAGAAACCTCCACAGCTGATAAAGCCTTTCAAAATAATGTCCTCAGTTAATTTGCACGTTTCCATGAGGTAGGTGTTGTTAGCCATTTCCATTAATGAGAAAAAAAATGAGATTCAGAAAGGTTAATTAAATTGGAGATCTCCTGATTTTTAGTTTTATATCCTTCCCGTGTACTTTCCAGGCTTATATTCTGGCCCTATCACTTCTCAGCTGAGTTACTTCAACAAGTTATTTATCCTCTGTGTTCTCAGCTGTCAAAATGAAATTGCCAATACCTACCTGGTAAGGAGTGAGAGAACATTTATAAAAACGCTCGGCTGGGTACCTGACACATAGGAGGTTCTCAGTAAATTTGGTTTCTCGCCCTTTCTTCCTGAAGCACAGTGGCAGATGGATTCAGCCAGCCGGCCTAGGAAGCACAAGCCATGCACCCTGCTGAACCTGTGTTCTAGGGTCGGACAGGGGGAGTCCTTTTGCCTAGAGGGATGGCGTGCGAGGCCTAAGAGGACTTGGGCAGAGTCTTGAAGGAGGAGCAGGATTTGCTGTGGTGGAGAGGTGGTCAGGGGTTGAGCAGATAGGAGAACCAAGGAATCAAGGCAGGAAAAGAGAGGGGATGCTTGTGAAGGGCCAGGAGCTGCTAACTAGTTTGCTAAACAGCAGGCCAGGATTTAGAAGGAGTTGGAGAAGGGTGGAGGGAGCTGAGGGGAACTTTTATGTTAAGGGTTCCAACTTGGCCCTGTGAGTGAAGGTGAGTTAGGGAAGGTTTCTGAACTCGGAGTCTCACCTGTAAAGATTAATCTGGTGCCAGTGTATAGAATGGACCGTTAAGGAAGAGGTGGAAAAACAAGGAAAATTTATATTTTATAGATACACACAGACACAGCCCTTTTTATTATAAAACACATAATCAACTTAACCCCATTTTAAATGGCTTGGACATTAATTTTACTCTTGTAATTGATTCTAGAGGTTTTAAACTGTTGTGTTTTTGCCTTTGTGACATATTATGGCCGTATCTAAAATTCATTTGATGTTAAATCGAGAACAAAACTCTTCAATTCTATTGTTGTTCCTAAGGTAAAATATAATCTACTTTAAGTCAATTCACTGTGTCATAAACTTTCCAGGAACGGGAAACTTGATAAAAAGCAGGGACTCAATGCATATGACAATAATTAAATCTATATTCAACAAGTATAAAAGAATGGTTGTAGAGGTAAGCAATTTGGAAGAAAAAAAGCCACTTGACTGAAATATGACAGAAAATCATACGAAGTCTGATACCCCATGACCGTTTTTGAGATATGAGGTTATGCCACATATTTGAGAATAAACAAAATCCAGTTAAGTGTCTATATTATTAAATGAATTGTATTTTCAGAAAGCATTAGATAAAGTCTATGTTTTAGACCCTGGAATCCATTTTTCTCATGAACACAATATCGTAAATAGATGAGAATTGAGTTCCCAGTCTATAAAACCCTTATTAAATCATCATGTAGCTGAAATATTCTATATTGGCAATCAATAGAGTTGAGTAATCTTTTCATAGTCACAGTAATAAAAAACAAAAAATATTGAAGAAGTGATTTTTCAAAAAATAGAGGTATAGCACATTTAATTGTGGATTGAGAGGTTGATAAATAATTTTGTGGTGATTCTGAAGAGACTATCTGGGCACTTTCAAAAGCTTTAGAGTTCATAAACTGTTCTTATTATATCTAATTTAATATTTAAAATTATGACCATTCATTCATTCACCAAACATAACTTAGATATCTACAATGGGTATTGTGCTAGTGGCTGGAGATTTCAATGTAATGAAACAGTTCCTAACTTAAAGAAAAGCAGCACATGAAATTTTACTAATGCATTTACTTAACAGATACTGAATGTTTGCTACCATGAGTCTATTATTCCTATGCATATCAACTCCCATGAAGCATGCGTAGCTCACCAATGGAATACAGAGAAATATTCCTGAGATAATACCAAAAATAGTCCATTTGTGCTACTAAAACAAAATAGCTGAGACTGAGTAGCTTATAAAGAACAGAAAGCTATTTTCTCACAGTTCTGGAGGCTGGGAAGTTCAAGATCAAAGCACCAACAGGTTTGGTTGTCTGGCAAAGGCTTCTCTCTGTTTTCCAAGATGGTGCCTTGTTGCTGTGTCCTCCAGAGGGAAGGAATGCTGTGTCTTCATATGGCAGAAGGCTGAAAGGCAAGTGAGGTAACACTGTGTGAAGCTTATTTTATAAGGGCCTTAATCCCATTCAAGAGGGAGGAGCCTGCATGTCCTAATCACCTCTTAAAGCCCTCATCTTTCAATACTGTCACATTGGCAACACCTGAATTTTGGAAGGGATACATTTAACCCATAGGAATACCTGTATATTACCCCAAGATCAATACTGGGTGACAAGTTTGCAGTCATTCACAGACATGAGCAAAGCAAAAAATGTGAGTCACCTAACCTGTGGGTTGCTAGCTGAGGTCAAACAAAGTGACATGCTGTCTTCTTGTTTCAGCTCTCATACTATAAACAAGTGACCTTTTAGTGGTCTATTTAGTGCCATCTTATTTTACATTTTCTTGGCTCTTTGTTGGTGATTTTGTTGCTTAAAATGTCCACTTTTCCTGCCCCCGCTGCAGACTAGTGCTGAAGTGCCGTCTAGTGTTCATAAGCAAGGGAAGACCAGAAAGTGCCTTATGTAGAAAGTATGCGTGTTAAATAAGCTTTGTTCAGGCATGAGTTATTGTGCTGTTAGCCATGAATTCAATGTTGAGTCCACAATACATATTAAATAAGGTGTCTTTATACAGAAATATACATAAAACAAAGTTATGTATTGATGGGTGATCAGAGGCTCATAGGAACCTAACCCTGTGTTTCCCCTAGGAGCAATGCTTCAGTATTCTGGAATTCAGGGTTTGAAGAGACTTTATAGAACACAGCTATTGTGAATAATGAAAATCAGCTTTGTTTTTACGTATTTCCCTAGTTGCTATGTGGAAAATGAACTGCAGTGGTGTAAAGGAGGTGGCAGAGAGGTCAATTAGAATGCTCTTGCAGGAGCCCAGTCCAGGAGCTTGCACTCAAGGGGTAGTTATGGTGATGGAAAGAGGAGAAGAGGGAGTAGAATGGTTTTTAGTTGGAAAGGACAGAGTTCCTGTCTGCCTAACCAAAGCAGGCTCTCAGTCATTCTTGCATTGCTGTATTTAAAATTTCTGAATAGCTTTTCACTACCTGATATAGTCCTTATTTATTTATTTATTTTTATTTCTGTTTTCCTCTGCTGGGATGGAAGCCATGTGAGACCACGTGCCTTACCTGTTTTCTTCATTCCCATAGCTCCAGTGCCTAAAGCCTAGGCTGGCCTAAAGAAGCCCTCAATAAACATCTACTAAATGCATGGGCTTTCCAAAGGGATGGAGCAGAGGTTGAGGGAGAAGAGTAATTAACAGTGCTAGGAATGTGAGGAATAGGAGATAGAGTAAATTAAGATCCTTTTGGTTAACTTCTAGAATATTCCAATCTCACAGAGAATTTTCCTATAAGAAAGTACAGACTAGAGGGGTTCATATACGGAGAATTTAAATCTCCCCATGATAACTCAAGAATGCTTCTAAATTTCTGCATAGAAATGGCCATTGATTCATTCACGTCTCATGTTAAGACCTTGCCATACAAGAAGAAATTACATGGATGGTATCTTAGTTGGCTTGGGCTGCCATAACAAAGTGCCACAAATTGGGTGGAATAAACAGCAGAAATTTATTTTCTCACAGTTCTTGAGGCTAGAAGTCCAAGATCAAGGTGTTGGCAGGTTTGGTTTCTCCCAAGGCCTCTCTTCTTGGCTTGCAGATAGCATCTTCTCACTGTGTGCTCACACGGCCATTGTGTGCGTGGAAAGAGAGTAAGCTCTGGTGTCTCTTCCTCTTCTTAGATGGATACCAGTCACATTGAACTAGAGCCAATCCATATGACCTTACTTAACCTTCATGACTGCTTTACATGCCCTATTTCCATATGCAGTCACATTCTGAGGTGTACTGGGGTCAGGACTTTAACAAATAAATCTGAGGGGCACACAGTTCAGTCTATAACAGACAGCCTTAAGAAGAGCCAGGGCTGTTGCTAGGTTGTTTACCCAGATGGAGACGCAACAGTGAAGCAAGAGCCATTTGCAAATGGTACTCCCAGACCAGCCTCGGCCAAGCCCAGGGGCAGGTTTGAGGCCATCCAGGAGCCAGAGTCCCAACACCAGGCTCCTACAAAGTCTAAATAAGCGTCCTCTGAATGCTGTTGCTTACTTGGAGATATTTTTAAGTGTCCCCAGTCTTTGAAAAGGGAACTAAATGTTCCCCCTGCCTCAGCTCCCTGCTGCCTAAGAAGCATGTGATGGAAAAACCAGGCTGGGCTAGGGACAGAGTGGGAGCGAGTGAGCTCTCAGGTCCTCACGTTGATTTATGTTGTGGTTAGTGGTTGTAGTGATTGGGCTTCTCAGTGGTGATTGGTATGATCTGGAGGTTGGCATTGTTAAGGAGAGGTTTCGGTGATGAGTACAGAAAATAGAAAATTACTGTAAATAAGGTGGTATTTAGCTGTTTTTAATTTTATACAGCTCATTATACCATGGTCAAATGAAAACCTTGACATTTGGGGCAGGAAGCATGTGGCTAGTGGGGGTGAGTGGACTCCAGTCCTGGCTGCTGCAGAGTGAAAGTCTTTCAAGAACCTCACAGAAGCAAGCCACACAAAAGGGAGCTTTAGAAATCAACACTGGTGATTTCGTCTTCCAGACAGAGTTCTTACTCTACAGATTCTTACTCTGCTTGTCAATACAGAGATAGGAATGGGGGCACTGGGGGATGACAGGGTGGACTGCCCCAACACACCGGGCACAGGCAATGATATTCTCATTAGATCAGGCCAGTGGAACACATTGTCCTCACTCTGAGGCCTTCGGTCATGGAGGTCAGATGAACACAAAGGCTCAACATCACTAAGTCCAGGCTGCACTGTTAAGGCAAAGGCCTAACTGTTCTCCAGACAGCTCAGGAAAAAGCAAAACGTTTTCCTGGGTTACTCCTTGCCTGGCTAGATAAAGCAGTCACCCAAAGACTGAACTGCAAGAAACTGTGAGTCTTTGGTACATCATCTACATTCAGGTCAAAAGAACCTTGAACATAATGTTTGTCGCCGCAGTAAAATCCCACTGTGATTCTATCTTCTCTTTGAAAACTATGAAGTTGAACGAATATAACATAGCAAGATCATAGTATGGCACAGTGGTTAAAAAAATGGACTTTGGGAGCAGGTGACTCCCCAAACACACTGCGTTCAAATCCAGCCTCTGACACTGACTGGTTGTGTGACTGTGGACATGTGAGGTATCCCTTCTGTGCATAATGATGGTATCTTCCTCCTGGAAGTGTGGTGAAAAATACACATACAAGGGCTGGGGACAGTGGCAGGCATATAGGACAAAGGAAACTTGTTATCATGAGTACTGAAAAAATGCTCCTTTGGAAATTTCACTGGGTTAAAGGAGAGAGAAAGAGAGCCAAGGAGAGAGAGAAACAGACAGAGAGAAAGACACAGAGAAAAAGAGAAAGTATGTGTGTGTGAGAGAGAGAGAGAGACATAGAGAGACACAGGGTTGTAGGGGAGAGAGAGAGAGGCTGTGTGTACCTATTAGGTAGGAAGCAAAGGAAGAACAAACTGGTTCTTATGAAGCCTCACTGGAAACACTCTATAACAGTGGTCCCCACCTTTTTGGCACCAGGGACTGGTTTTGTGGAAAACAAATTTTCCACGTTTGGAGGGTGGAATGGTTTCGGCATGATTCAAGTGCATTACATTTATTGTGCACTTTGTTTCTATTATTATATTATAATATATAAGGAAATAATTATACAACTCACCACAGTCTAGAATCAGTGGGAGTCCTCAGCTTGTTTTCCTGCAACTAGATGGTCCCATCTCGGGGGTGATGGGAGACAGTGATGGATCATCAGGCATTAGATTCTCATAAGGAGCAACCTAGATCCCTCCCATGCACAGTTCACAATAGGGTTCAAGCTCCTATGAGAATCTAATGCTGCAGCAGTTGTGACAGGAGGCAGAGCTCAGGCAGTAATGGGAGTGATGGGGAGCGGCTGTAAATACAGATGAAGCTTCACTTCCTTGCCTGCCGTTCACCTCCTGCTATGTGGCTCTGTTCCTAACAGCCCATGGACCGATAGGTATTTTAGAGCAGGGTTGGGAACTCGTACTCTTTAATATTATTTTATTTTATTTTTTGAGACGGAGTCTCGCTATGTTGCCAGTCTGGAGTGCAGTGGCATGATCTCGGCTCACTGCAACCTCCACCTCCTGGGTTCAAGGGATTCTCCTGCCTCAGCCTCCCAAGTAGCTGGGATTACAGGCACACGCCACCACGCCCAGCTAATTTTTGTATTTTTAGTAGAGACAGGGTTTCACCATGTTGGCCAAGATGGTCTCGATCTCCTGACCTTGTGATCCGCCCTCCTCGGCCTCCCAAAGTGCTGGGATTACAGGCGTGAGTCATCGTGCCTGGCCCTGCTCTTTAATATGCAAACTCCTCCCAAATGTGGGCCAGTGGCTTAGTTGATACACCATACATTTTTTGCCCCTCTCTAAATGGAATGTGTTATAGTCTCCTCTTTCTGAGCCTCTGTAGCCTTGAAAAATCCAGGAAACATCTTCATCTGCCTGGGCCAAGTCTCACCTTCCTCTCCTCTTCATCTTGACAAGGGTCCCTGGCTTGGAGTCATCAGCCACCAGTTCCCCGCCCCTTGGAGTGAGGCCTCCATCACCGGAAATCCTTCCTCTGCCCAGCAGATGCCTTGAAACCTCTGAGAGTTTAGGCCTTAGAGATATTCTCTGGTGTATGTCTTACAAAGAAACTTGCTGATTTGAAAGAAAATGTCTATTCATGACCCTGGAAATGAAGGGAGGCAGTAAGAAGAGAACTAGGAAGATAAGAAACAAGGAAAGAGGCTGGGCACAGTGGCTCACGCCTGTAATCCCAGCACTTTGGGAGGCTGAGGTGGGCAGATCACCTGAGGTCAGGAGTTCAAGCCTGGCCAACATGGTGAAACCTTGTCTCTACTAAAAATACAAAAATTGGCTGGGCGTGGTGGTGGGCGCCTCTAATCCCAGCTACACGGGAGTCTAAGGCAGGAGAATCATTTGGGAGGCGGAGGTTGCAGTAAGCTGAGATTTCACTACTGTACTCGAGCCTAGGCAAAAAGGGCAAAACTGTCTCAAAAAAAAAAAAAAAGAAGAAGAAGGAAGGAAAGAAAGAAGGTCAGGCGCGAGTGAATGAGTGAGTGAGTGAGCAAGCGAGGTCAGGTGAGGTGAGTGAGGTGAGTGAGTGAGGTGAGTGAGGTGAGTGAGGTGGGTGAGTGAGGTGGGTGAGTGAGGTGAGTGAGGTGAGTGAGTGAGGTGAGTGAGGTGAGTGAGGTGAAGTGAGTGAGGTAAGTGGAGTGAGATGAGTGAGGTGAGGAAGTGGAGTGAGATGAGTGAGGTGAGGTGAGTGAGTGAGGTGAGGTGAGTGAGTGGAGTGAGGTGAGTGAGGTGAGTGAGGTGAGGTGAGTGAGGTGAGTGGAGTGAGGTGAGTGAGTGAGGTGAGTGAGGTGAGTGAGTGAGGTGAGGTGAGTCAGTGAGGTGAGATGAGTGAGGTGAGGTGAGTGAGGAGGGTGAGTGAGTGGAGTGAGGTGAGTGAGGTGAGTGAGTGATTGAGGTGAGGTGAGTGAGGTGAGTGGAGTAGGTGAGTGAGTGAGTGGTGAGTGAGTGAGTGAGCTGAGTGAGGTGAGCTGAGTGAGGTGAGTGAGGTGAGGTAAGGTGAGTGAGGTGAGTGAGTGAGGTGAGGTGAGTGAGGTGAATGGGGTGAGTGAAGTGAGTGAGGTGAGTGGAGTGAGGTGAGGTGAGTGAGGTGAATGAGGTGAGTGAGGTGAGTGAGTGAGGTGAGTGAGGTGAATGAGGTGAGGTGAGTGAGTGAGGTGAGGTGAGTGAAGTAGGTGAGTGGGTGAGGTGAGTGAGTGAGGTGAGTGAGATGAGTGGGTGAGGTGAGGTGAGTGGGTGAGGTGAGGTGAGTGAGTGAGGTGAGTGAGGTGAGTGAGGTGAGTGAGGTAGGTGAGGTGAGTGAGGTGAGTGAGATGAGTAGGTGAGGTGAGGTGGGTGAGGTGAGTGAGTGAGGTGAGGTGAGTGAGGTGAGTGAGGTAAGGTGAGTGAGTGAGGTGAGGTGAGTGAGGTGAGTGAGGGAGGTGAGGTGAGGGAGGTGAGGTGAGTGAGGTGAGTGAGGTTAGTGAGTGTGGTGAGGTGAGTGAGTGAGGTGAGTGAGGTGAGTAAGTGAGGTGAGTGAGGTTTGAGTGAGTGAGGTGAGTGAGGTGAGGTGAGTGAGGTGAGTGAGGTAAGTGAGATGAGTGAGTGATTGAGGTGAGGTGAGTGAGATGAGTGAGGTGAGTGAGTGATTGAGGTGAGTGAGTGATTGAGGTGAGTGAAGTGAGTGGGTGAAGTGAGTGGGTAAGGTGAGTGAGGTGAGTGAGGTGGGGTGAGTGAGGTGAATGAGGTGAGGTGAGTGAGTGAGGTGAGGTGAGTGAGTGAGATGAGTGAGGTGAGGTGAGTGAAGTGAGTGAGGTGAGGTGAGTGGGTGAGTGGGTGAGGTGAGTGAGGTGAGGTGAGTGAGTGAGGTGAGTGAGGTGAGTGAGGGAGGTGAGTGAGGTAGGTGAGTGAGGTGAGTGAGGGAGGTGAGTGAGGTGAGTGAGGGAGGTGAGTGAGGTGGGTGAGGGAGGTGAGGTGAGTGAGGGAGGTGAGGTGAGGGAGGTGAGGTGAGTGAGTGAGGTGAGTGAGGTGAGTGTGGTGAGTTGAGTGAGGTAAGTGAGGTAAGTGAGGTGAGTGAGTGAGGTGAGTGAGGGAAGTGAGTGAAGTGAGTGAGGGAGGTGAGTGAGTGAGGTGAGTAAGATAAGTGGGTGAGGTGGGTGAGGTGAGTGAGGTGAGGTGAGTGAGGTGAGTGAGGTAAGGTGAGTGAGTGAGGTGAGTGAGGGAGGGAGGTGAGGTGAGGGAGGTGTGGTGAGTGAGTGAGGTGAGGTGAGTGTGGTGAGGTGAGTGAGTGAGGTGAGTGAGTGAGGTGAGTAAGTGAGGTGAGTTAGGTGAGTGAGTGAGGTGAGTGAGGTGAGTGAGGTGAGGTGAGTGAGGTGAGTGAGTGATTGAGGTGAGTGATTGAGGTGAAGTGAGTGAGGTGAGTGAGAAGAGTGAGGTGAGTGATTGAGGTGAGTTAGGTGGGTGAGTGAGGTGAGTGAGTGATTGAGGTGAGGTGTAGGTGGGTGAGTGAGGTGAGGTGAGGTGAGTAAGTGAGGTGAGTGAGGTGAGTGAGGTGAGGCGAGTGAGGTGAGTGAGGTGAGTGAGTGAGGTGAGTGAGTGATTGAGGTGAGTTAGGTGGGTGAGGTGAGTTAGGTGGGTGAGGTGAGTGAGGTGAGTGAGGGGAGGTGAGGTGAGTGAGTGAGGTGAGTGAGGTGAGTGGGGTGAGGTGAGTGAGGGGAGTGAGGTGAGTGAGTGATTGAGGTGAGGTGAGTGAGGTGAGTGAGGTGAATGAGGTAAGGTGAGTGAAGTGAGGTGAGTGAGGTGAGTTGAGTGAGGTAAGTGAGGTGAGTGGGTAAGGTGAGTGAGGTGAGGTGAGTGAGGTGGGTGAGTGAGCTGAGTGAGGTGAGTGAGGCGAGGTGATTGAGATGAGGTGAGTGAGGAGGTGAGTGAGTGGAATGAGGTGAGTGAGGTGAGGTGAGTGAGGTGAGTGAGTGAGGTGAGTGGGTGAGGTGGGTGAGGTGAGTGAGGTGAGGTGAGTGAGTGAGGTGAGTGAGGTGAGGTGAGTGAGGTGGGTGAGTGAGGTGAGGTGAGTGAGTGGAGTGAGGTGAGTGATTGAGGTGAGTGAAGTGAGTGAGGTGAGTGAGGTGAGTGAGTGAGGTAAGTGAGGTGAGTGGGTAAGGTGAGTGAGGTGAGGTGAGTGGAGGTGGGTGAGTGAGGTGAGTGAGGTGAGTGAGGCGAGGTGATTGAGGTGAGTGAGTGAGGTGAGTGAGGAAGGTGAGGTGAGGGAGGTGAGGTAGGTGAGGTGAGTGAGGTGAGGTGAGGGAGGTTGAGTGACTGAGTGAGGTAAGGTGAGTGAGGTGAGGTGAGGTGGAGTGGAGTGAGGTGAGTGAGGTGAGTGAGGTGAGGTGAGTGAGGTGAGGTGAGTGAGGTGAGTGAGTGAGGTAAGTGAGGCGAGGTGATTGAGTGAGGTGAGTGAGTGAGGTGAGTGAGGAAGGTGAGGTGAGGGAGGTGAGGTAGGTGAGGTGAGTGAGGTGAGGTAGGTGAGGTGAGTGAGGTGAGGTGGGTGAGGTGAGTGAGGTGAGGTGAGTGAGGTTAGTGAGTGAGTGAGGTAAGGTGAGTGAGTGAGGTGAGGTGAGTGAGGTGAGTGAGTGAGTGAAGGGGGGGATGGCAGGCAAGGAAGGGAATGGAGCAACATTTGCAAAGTTTACTGTGAAGCAGGAAACGAAAAGTGGCAAATGAGCCTCCTCACGTAAATCTACCTGAAAACATGAACATCTGTCATAGCCAGGATAAATTTAACATGCAGAGAAATATACACACTAGAATGTTAAAGGCAGCAAAGATCCACAGTGTGATTAGAACCATGTTAAAACCAAACACAAATCGATGCAGGAAAAATGATCTGAAGGAAATGTTTCCAAAGTGTTAGCACTGGTGGTCTTCGGGCGGTTTTGAGGAATTTTCTTCTTCTTTTGATGTAACAGAAAGGAGCAGACTTATTTAAAAGAGAAACCTCACTGCAGTAAGATTGCCCCTTTCACAGGCCACTCTCAGCCAGGTAGCTGGACCATTCCAAGAGCCTATTTGTCTTGTTCCTTCTCCATTCCAGCTTTTCTCACTTTGTACGAGGTCCTTCATTTCCTGATGGGTGTCTTTACCTTCTAGTACTTTCCCGTCCATTCTGTCCACTCGTCAGAGGGCTGCTGGACTCATTCACCTCAATTAACGACCACTTCCCCCTCTCTCCCACCCTGACCTCGTTCATCCACCTCCCGAATCGCTCCGGCATCCTCCCTGCCACTCCCCAGGCTGGAGTCCAAGTCTGGTCCACCTCTTCCTTGCCTCTCGCCCTCAGGAGAAGATACAAACCCTCCCATTGTGTACACCGACTTTCACACTTACCTCCCTCCCCTTCCCTCCCTGTGTTCCACACAACCAGGTGTCCTGCCCTTCTCCTAAGCTGCAACAACAACCTCTGAATATTTGTACCACAGCCCTTATCACGTGAAACCAAAAATATCTGTTTCTTATGTGTCTTATTCCCCCAGTTGGAAACTCTCTAAAGACAGAGACCGTGTCTTAACACGGTCAAACCCCCAGTCCCTAACACAATCCCTGGCACAGGCTGAATTCTCCATCAACACCGTCTCACTGAATCTGGTTTCTTTGCCACAAACTTTCCATGGTTCTTCTCTGAAGACCGTCCAAGCCTTCAGCCTGACTTTCAGAAGCATCAAAAGGCTGGTTTAAACCTAGCTTTGCCACCTTAATGGCAAATGAACGCCACCCGCCCCCAAAACGGGCTCTGCCATACTGAGTGTTCACTTCTCTGGAGCATAGCTCACACATGTTCTCCCACTCCTTTTTCCTCACCGTGCCCAAAACACCCTCTCATCTTCGGGTTTCCTAATTTCCCTCTAGTTCTCCCTCAACTCCCAGCTCCAGTGCCACCTCCTCTCCAAGTCCTTCCTTCCACCCCACTCAGCTTCTGCAACCATCCGTGACCCTTTGCTGCTTCTGGAACTTCTCATGTGTGTATATCTCACTTTGCTAATTCAATGTAGGTAAGCCCCCCTCCCCGTCATGCTGCACAGGCACTTGGACCTAGGAGCTCCTCAATAAGAGCTGCTGACTGGCTGATGTAGGTCACGCGCTGCCGCGGAGGTGACTGTGCTGGGTGTGCCAGTTTTGGTTACCAGGCTGTGGATCCAAGTCTCACACAGGCCGCACCTTCAAGGGAGGGCCCCTGAACCTAAGCAGGAGAGGTTCAGTCATCCCAGTCCTCCCCCAGCTGCTCTGCCTCTGCTTCCTGATCGCCTGCCCCAGGCCACTTGTGTGGACCGCCAGAGAGACCCTGCCACAGCTCGCCTAGGGACCAGGACAGACCCCGGTGGACGAAGGGCCCCGCAGCTTGCAGCCAGCGTCCTGGTGCTCAGAACAGTCTATGCATCTTACAGAACACCATGGTTTGCTGAATCTGTAGGCAAACTGTTACTATCCATGGGAAAGTATTAGGAACCAGAAAATCATATTTGTTTTCCTTCTCGCTATAAACTTTCAAAGGCTCCCCTCTGAATACCGTGTAAGGCAGTAAGTAGCCTGGTATTTGAGACCTTACACATTTTTATTCAAATCTGTCTTTCATTAATCGGATACTGTCCAAGGCCACCCAGCCTGTACCTTTTACTCATTTATAAAGAAATGGAAAATTCCTTACTGAATGAGTGAATGAATACATGCATGCAATGGTGATTGTCTTACACTTTATATAACACGTTCTCTGGATTTATTAATAAAAAATGCTGTAGGCCTCTTCCAGCTGCTTTCCCTCATCCTGGTCTGCATTGCTGGGGCTCTGGCTGCAGCCAACACTGAAGACTGCAAGGCACCTGACGAGACCAACATCTTGTCTTCCAGAGACGAGGGTGATGTCATGAGTCACTTCTTGGTCTTTCCCCTCTCTCTGCGCCTGTGGTGTCAGCCGTGGTGCCTGCCAACCCGAAGACAGGACTTGCTACATATGTCAGCAGTGCAGGACACCCGAGTTACCCCGAGTTACCAAGGGCGAATCCCTATGGGTCCACAGCAACTGCAGTCCTTGCCTCCTCAGAAGAAAGAATTCGACGGAGGGGCGTAAGGCAGAAAAAGAGACCGAGCAAGTTTCAGAGCAGGAGTGGAAGTTTAGTTAAAAGGTTTTAGAACAGGAAAGAAAGGAAAATTCGCTTGAAAGAGACCCACGCAGACGCCTGAAGGTCCACGAGAGAAAAGAGAGCACAAGAAGACAGTAAAAAAAAAAAGAGGGTCTTTAACCTTGATCCTGGGACTTCATAGGCTCACCTCTTCCCCAGGATTCTTCCCTTACAGGGTGGGTTTCCTGCATGCGCAGTGCTCGCCTTACCCTTTGGGATGGAGCATGCGCAGTGTGTTTAGGGAGTTCCACGCAGGCCCCTCTGAGACTTTCTTCCCTTTTCTGGTGGAGTGGTCGTCAAACGTCACCATTTTTGTCTCTTAACGCGCATGCCCAGGAAGTTGCTTCTGCCTGGGGCCTGCATTCAATTAACATTTTGATGTTAACAGGTGCGGACCATCAGGAAATGGTCTCTTCTGGTGCGGTGGAATTGTCATTTTTAGAGAGGCGATGCGATAATTGCCGATAATTGCCGAATCATCACGAGATTTCTAGTGGGTGGTGGGGAGAGCTCTCTTCTGCCCCTTTCTTGCCCAATTACCTGTAACGCATAGACGGGGCTTGACTGGACTTTGGAGTGAATTCAGGGAAGCTAGCTATGCGCAGCTCGGTAGACCACTGGGGATGAGACTTGAGAGTCTCAGGGCTTGCCGTCGGCCCACTGTACGCAGATCAGTGCGAGGGATCCCCACACTTCGGCTACTACAAAACTGGGCCTTTACCTCTGCTTAACTTGAAAGAGGCCTGAGCGGGTGACTCATTCTCACTCATCAGAGCATCCGCAGTGCTCCAGCCCTGCCCCAATCTCCCTGTGTCTACTGGGACAGCCTCAACGCCAAGGGAAGGAAGAGGAAAAATCTCGAGTTTTACAAAATGAACAGAATTGAGGAGGAGGCTCCTCAGGACCCGTTCTTTCCTCCCGCACTGGCCTCTCTCACCTGCCACCATCAACTTTTACCCTCTTGGAATGTTCAAGCTGTTTGTCATTCCCTGGGAGCAGCTTGTCCACTGAGCTGCTACATTTGGGGCTGAGTGACAAGAAATCAAAGGGACAAAATGGGCCAGTTCCCTAATCTTACCTCCCTGCACTAAAGTGGAGAATGTATGGGAGTAAATAAATGGAAAATACACAGTCATTTCTTTACCATCACAGTCAATAACGGCAGAATCACTCCAGGAGGAAATGCACTCTGGGGGACTTCCTTCATCTGAGACACCTAACCTGGGGACAGCTCGGCTCCGTGTCCCACCTCCACCACCAGAGACTCTCTGCCCACTCCCTTCTCTGTATTCTCCAAGATCTGGCTTCCTGGAGAAAGGAGAAATGTTTTCTACCTGGAGTGAATATATCTGGTGTCCTTCCAAATAGCTGCAGCCCATGCATTTTTAATAAGAAGGAAGCCCTGATGAATGTCACAAAGCCAATAAATGTGGCCACCACCATGGTGCAGATGTTGTTATCCAGCTGTCAAGTACCTGCAGTGTGCAGGGCAGAGCAGAGATTAGACATGTTGCCCACCCAATGGGCTGATGATCAAAGTGCCTGTGTGTTTCTGTAGGCATTTCCAGTTCAGTTTACATTTTAGAAGAAAATGAATACACTCAGACAACCATCTCCTGTTCTTCTTCTCCCTACCCTCCACCTTTGATAATGGAAGAAACTCTTTTCCCTTCCCCCTCCCTTTTATAATAAAACAGTTCCTTGGAGGTGTCAGTGGGACTGCTTAGGGGCAAAGGCTGTGGATCCCAACTCTGCACCTAGGAACTGGCTGATCCTTGTGACCTGGTCAACTGGGACCCAGTTGTAGCCAAACCTCTCTTCTCTCAACAGCAAGACCTGCAATTGCTCAGTTTCATCCCAGATCCCAGTGGTTCTAGCTAGACTCAGGCCAAAGACGACTTGGGCCTTTTGATGAAAGGCCTTTGGGAAATTAGCACTTTTCCACTGGATTATTGGAGCTGCAGAAACTTGCCTGCCTCTGGGATTCTGTTCAGCGCCTGATATCCTGAAGGTTTGCCTGGGCTCCTCCCAGCCCTAATCTAACCCTGAATGAGCTGGCACTGGCTGGGCAGCCTGGCCTCACCTGGGATCCCTGTTTGGCTTGGCCTTTGTCAAGGAGGCCAGGAGCCTGAGGAACTAGAGGATTAAGCAACAGCTTCCCAGGGGCGAATTCCTGCCTAGTGCCTGGTATCTGGTTTCTAAGCCAAGCATGGGTGGCTCTGTTTCTGCTGATTCCTGATTGTGGTTGCATGCTATATCCTGGTTCTCTCTTCCTGCGTGGATATTCCTCCCCAAAAGGAATTAAGTCAAGGGCCCTGAGAGCTGCGGGCCCAGATGTAGCTCTTATATGCAAACACTTCCACTTCTGAATTCTCAGAAGTTATTAAGACCCCTTAGAGCCATGCTGGGGTCCTGTTAGCCCTTCCTCTGGCCCAACTTAATTAACTTGGCCAGGTGTTATTTTAGACACCTGAAATAGGCGAGTGCTTGGTATCAGGGTGTTTTAAATTTCAGAGGGGCATGGCATGGCATGGCAAGTTTGAGGCTGGGACTTATAATGCACAAATAAGAGCCTTCTTTGTCTCTCTAACAGTTTTGCTCTTTTTTTTTTTTTTTTTTTTTTTTTTTGAGATGGAGTCTCGCTCTGTCGCCCAGGCTGGAGTGCACTGGTCGGATCTTGGCTCACTGCAAGCTCCGCCTCCCGGGTTTATGCTATTCTCCTGCCTCAGCCTCCCAGGTAGCTGGGACTACAGGCGCCCGCCGCCACGCCCGGCTAGTGTTTTTGTATTTTTTAGTAGAGACGGGGTTTCCAGTCTTGCTCATCTTTACTCACCATGTCTCAGATCACCCTGTGGGTGCTGGAGAGTTATGTCTGATTGTTTTTGCACACAGGTCAGAAATGTTTGAAAGATAGTCTGAATTTCTTGCCTCCTTCCTTAGAGCAAACCTAATAGCTCAGACTGCAGCAAGCTGCTGATATTCTATCTCTGTGAAGTAGGAGGTGATAAGCTGAGGAATGTCTGTTCCTATCCCCATTTTTACCTGAGATCCCAGAAACTGGCATGCACCGTACACCCCGGGTTTGCCAGGGACAAACCTGTTGAAGCCTGTCCTGTTATACACATGAAAACACCCCCTGTTGTTCTCGAAAGTGAAAACTGGACAATGAATTATGGAGTTGCTCTGTGTATAGAGGACATCCCATTCATTCTAGCTGTGTTCTTTCCAGACGTACAGAGAGCATGTTATGGCTGGAGAAGTTAGGGCTGAGAAAGGGAAGTGACTTGTCTACACTCACATAGTGAGTCAGTAGCAGAACCATTTAAGAGAATGCAGGGGCTTTGACTAATGTGCTACTCACTCCTGACACCACCCTGGTAAAGGGAGTAGAAAGGACAGGAATAGTTCAGTTGACAACATGTGGTGGAGGAGAGAAGCCTGCGTGCCTATGCATGTGAAATGACATTAGAAGGCTTCCAAAAGGGCAGGTGCAAAATAATATTGCACAGTGCAATTGATCCTTAGTGGGAGCTCAAGAGCTGTTGGTTGATGAGTGAGTTGATGACTTACAAGTGCCCACAGGGAGAAGGGAAACATCAAGCAGGATGACCAGGGGGTGCTGCAGAGAGGAAGCAGTGAACTGCCCGCAGCTGGCTGAGCCTGAGCCTGTGATGGGGCCGAGGGTGTGCTGGCACCGTACGGGCGGAAGGACCCAGGCTACCTCTAAGTCTACGGAGGCGTTATTTACCAAGGTGAGGGTTGAGCTGGATTCTGAAAAGGAAATCTGGTAAGGAGAAAGAGGCGAGCCCAGCATGAAGGAAGGAGGTGTAGGGACAGCGGGCAGACGAGACTGTCCGGGGCAGAGGGAGATGGAAGAAAAGAAACAAAGAATGTCTGCCCAGCATCCTCATTTTTTTGGTTTTCTGGGAAAATGGTGAAACTCTTGCAAGTGGCGATTACAGAGGGCGGGAGTAGGAGAGAAACCACAGTGATTTTTTTTTTCAGGACCAAAAAAAAATGTTTTCCCCAAACTAAACAAAGTCAGATTGAGAAATTCAACATAGTACCTCAGGGACCTGGTGGCTCATTGCTACGTCTTGCCACAGGCGCCGGCCTCAGATGCTCATGGCCGCCTGGGGAGGAGACGAGGACATTTAAACTTTTCAAGATCCAAACAGTCATGGTTCTCTTTTTGCAAAATGGTTTTTGTCGGCCTTCTGTAGGTAGTGGTGGTCACACGTTTGTGAACCACAGGACGACATGTGCCTGGATGCCTCTTCCCCACCTGTTACCTGCCCAGGGAGCCTCACCTGCCTCATAGGACAGCCTCATAGCCTGTGACTTCAGTGTGGTCCTCTTACACTGAAAGCCCCCAAGTGATGGCTGCTGTTGTTACCTAAAAGGTCATTTCCCTCAGATGACACCCGTGCTTTAGGATCATTAAAGAAACAAAGGAATCTTCTAATTACAAGATGAAGCTCTGCCTTCAAAAAGGGAGATGCGGCCAAATTCTTTAGGAAAAACTGGAGCTGGGGCCTGGGTGGTCTTGCTGGTATTCCTTCTTTTGTGATTAAATGAAGCCATTCATTTCAGAACTGCCTTAAAAAAATGTAAGCGTCATTCAACCTTCTTCAGCAAATTATAGTGATTTTAAATGAACAAAAAAGTCGGTGGCCCTATTCACATCCCCACCCCTCCCCGCGTCAGAAATCATGTATCTGATGATGGAAATTATCCACAGCCTGAAAAGAAAAATTCATGGCAACTTCTCAGTGGCACATCGTACTTTCATATTTCTATTTATGTGAAATTCTTATTCTCAACCATCTGATTTTTGTTAACCTTAGGGATCTAAATCTAGTCAGGTCTTGTGCCTGCAGACCCCTTTAATTAGTGTGGTAACTCAAATTGTTTTCAAATTGAGGTGGCTGTGCTTCTGATTCTTATCTGTGGAGCCAGAGGCCTTGGGGCCACCTGCACAGCCCCATTGGCTGAGATTTTATCTGCACGCACTGCCCTTTCTCACAGGACTCTGCTAGCCAGCGGCTGAACTCTGAAGCTTCTCCACCCTCAGATGGAAATCTGAGTTCTTGCCCAGCCCAGACTGCTGGGGGATCTCAGCAGCCCACCTCGGCACACAGGAGGAGTGGGTGCTGAGCTGGCACAGCAACTCTATCCTCCTGTCCTCACCCTGGGATTTCTGATTTGCTGCAGGGTGTGGGAGAACCCAGCTGCCACCTCTGCTAGCTATGCAGAGTGGAGAGGATGTCACTGTCTCAGACAAGAATGAGGGGCTGGCCCACAGTCTCTGCACCTCTCAAGTGGTCTCTGGAGGCAGCCCAGGTCACTGGCTACGATCCTGGGATCTACGTAGTCACTGGTGCCAATGTCCATGCTAATGACTCTAGTGGCCACCTCTGTCCAGGCGAGGGCTGCCAAGCAGCCTAGATTAGGCAATTGAAAGAAACAAAAACAACCGTGAGGTAAAGGGAACTTCAGCATAATCCTAGTTTTTATTACATACATAGAGGGTGGGGGTACCCACCCCACCAAACCAAAAGGATTCATGACGCAGTGCAAAGTGCCACGTGCCTTCATAAAGAGAAGGGTCATGTCAATGTCAACTCCTACAGCGATTCAACTGTGCAGAGACAAATGGTGTTTTAAAAATTCCATTTTATTCATTGGTAGTTTTTCCCTTTTTAACAAAATTGTCTATATTTAAGGCATACAACATGATGTTTTGACACACATATACAGAGTGAAATCGTTACTACAGTCAAGCAAATTAACATATTCATCATCTCGCATAGTTATTTTGTGTGTGTGTATGATAAGAACACCTAAAATCTACTCTCTTCACAAATTTCCAGTATACAATATAATATTTCTAACTATGCTGTACACTATGCCTTTAGATTTATTTATCGTATATTTGCACCCTTCGACCTCTCCCCATTTCTCCCTCTCCCATCCCCGGTAACAGCCATTCTACTGTCTCTTTTCTACTTATTTAACTTCTCTTTTAGATTCACATATAAGATGAATCACAGTATTTTTCTCTCTGTGGCTGGCTTATTTCACTTAACATAATGTCCTCCAGGTTCATGCATGTTGTCAAAAATGGCAGCATCTCCTTTTTAAAGGCGGTATAATATTCCACTATATATGTGTGTGTGCGTGCGTGTGTGTGTGTGCATAAAAGCATACTGATTAAGGAAATTGTTTAAGCCATACTGGTCTGTGGTCTGAGTTAGACCATGATTGTGTCCTTTCCTTTGGCTGACCTTTATAATCCCTCAATAAGCTGTGCTAACACAGGGAAGCTGTGTTTCCCAAATCCCTGTGATGAACAGTTTCTTTATCCATTTATCAGTTGACGAACACTTAGGTTGTTTCCATATCTTGGCTATTGTGAATAATACTGCAATGGACATGGGAGAACAGGTATCTCTGTAAGGTACTGATTTAATTTCCTTTGGGCATATATCCAGCAGAGAGATTGCTGAGTCATATGATAGGTAGCTCTATTTTTAGTTTTTTTGAGAAACCCCTGCAATTTTTTCCATAACGACTGTCCCAATTTATATTCCTACAATGTATAAGGATTCCCTTTTCTCCACACCCTCTCCAACACTTGTTATCTCTTCTTTTTGATAATAGTCATCTTGATGGATGTCAGGTGATATCACATTGAGGGTCTGGTTTGCATTACTCGGATAATTAGCGATGCTGAGCACCTTTTCATACACCTGTTGGCCATTTTTATGTCTTCTTTGGAGAAATGTGTGTTGAGGTGTTTTGCCCATGTTTTAACTGGGTTATTCTTCTTGTTGCTTTTGAGTTGTGTGAGTTCCTTATATATTTTGTATATTAACCCTGTATCAAATCTCATGTGGTGCAAAAGGAATTGTGGTTTTTGCCATTAAAAGTAATGGCAGAAACCGCCATTAATGCCCTTAAAAATAATGGCAAAAACCGCAGTAATTAATATACGGTACACAAATATTTTCTCACAATCCATAGGCTCTATTCTTTTCATTTTGTTGACTGTTTTCCTTGCTATGTGGAAAATTTTTAATTTGATATAGTCCCACCTATTTATTTTTGCTTTTGTTGCCTGAGGTTTTCATGTAATATTCAAAAAAATCATTGCCAAGGTCAATGTCAAGGAGCTTTCCCCCTATTTTCTTCTAAGAGTTTTATGGTTTCAGGTGTTAGATCTTTAATCTATTTTAAGTTGATTTTTGTGTCTGTTGTAAGATGGGGTCTAATTTCATTCGTTTTCATGTGGATATCCTGCATTCCCAATACCATTTACTGAAGAGGCTGATTTCTCCGTTGTACCTTCTTGGTGCTCTTGTCAAAAATTAGTTGATTGTATATGCTTGGGTTTATTTCTGGACTGTCTATTCTGTTCTGTTGGTTTATGTGTCTGTTTTTATGTCAATACCATACTGTTTTGATTACTATAGATTTGTAGTACAATATAAAAATCACCAAGTATGATGCCTTCAACTTCGTTTTTCTTTCTTAATAAGTTTGGCTATTGGGGTCTTCTGTGATTCCATACAGATTTTAGAACTGATTTCTCCAGTTCTGTAAAAAATGCCATTGGAATACTGACAAGGATGGCTTTGAATCTTCATACTGCTTTGTGTACTATGAACATTTTAACAATATTAATTCTTTCAGTCCATGAATATGGGATCTTTTTCCATTATTTGTGTCATTTAAAATTTTTTTATCAATGTTTTATAATTTTCAGTGTGCAGGTCTTTCAGCTATTTGGTTAAATTTATTCCTAATTATTTTATTCTTTTTAATGTTATTAGTGAAATTGTTTTCTTTATTTTTTATTTTTGGATAAGTCTTTATTGTTGTGAAGAAAGGTATTGATTTTTGTATGTTGATTTTGTATTCTCCAACTTTACTGAATTCGTTTATTAGTTTAAACAGGTTTTTTTGTGTGTGTTTGAAGTTGTTAGGGTTTTCTACATATAGGATCATGTCACCGGTAAACAGGGATAATTTTACTTCTTTTCTGATTTGGATGCCCTTCATATTTTTTTCTTATCTGACTGCTCTGGCTAGTACTTTCAATACTATGTTGAACAGAAGTGGCAAAAATAGGCATCCTTGCCTTGTACTGGATCTTAGAGGAAAAGCTTTCCATTTTTCGCACTGCTTATGTTGCTGTCTCTGGGATTTTCATAAATGGCCTTTATTATGTTGAGGAAATTTCCTTCTATACCTAAAGCGTTGAGACTTTTTAATCAAGAAAGAATGTTGCACATTGTCAAATGCTTTTTCTGCATCTATTGAGGTGAACATGAATAATCTTGAAGAGCACTTTGTGAAAGTGACTTACAGAGTGGTTGTGCCTAGAGCACTGACTCAAAAAATGATCAAGTGGTAGCTGGGCGCTGTGGCTCACGCCTGTAATTCTAGCACTTTGAGAGGCCGAGACAGCAGATCACCTAAGGTCAGGAGTTTGAGACCAGCCTGCCTAAAATGGCAAAACTCTCTACTGAAAATACAAAAAAATTAGATGGGTGTGGTGGTGGGCACCTGTAATCCCAGCAAATTGGGAGGCTGAGGCAGGAGAATTGCTTGAACTCGGGAGCCAGAGGTTGCAGTGAGCTGAGAACGTGCTATTGCACTCCAGCCTGGGCAACAGAGCAAGACGCTGTCTCAGGAAAAAAAAAAAAAAAAAAACAAGTGGGCAAGAATTGTCAAATATGCATAAGGAAAATTATCTCAGAGAGGCTGGGGGTGGGGGTGGGTGGACAGATCAGCTTAACCTCTGAGGTAGGGCATGTATATGCTTGTAGTAAGAAGTTATATAAAGGGCCTTCTCTTTGTAGGAACAGTAGCTTCTGCCCTAATTATAGGTCATTGTCATCATCTACCCAAAGTGGTAAGCATTAGACACTTGATGAGTGAGGATCAGGTGAAAGTAGTAAGTGCTGCTTGTAAGAGGTGAAAAGAAGGGCTATTCAACAAATAGTGTTGGAACCAGTGGCTAGCCACTTAAAAAAAAAAAAAGAAAATTAAGCTCGTTCTTTTTTTTTTTTTTTTTTGAGACGGAGTCTTGCTCTATCGCCCAGGCTGGAGTGCAGTGGCGTGATCTTGGCTCAGCAAGCTCCGCCTCCCGGGTTCACGCCATTCTCCTGCCTCAGCCTCCCGAGTAGCTGGGACTACAAGAGCCCGCCACCATGCCCGGCTAATTTTTTGAATTTTTTTTTTTTAGTAGAGATGGGGTTTCACCGTGTTAGCCAGGATCCGTCTCCTGACCTGGTGATCCGTCCGCCTCGGCCTTCCAAACTGCTGGGATTACAGGTGTGAGCCACTGCGCCTGGCCTAAGCTCGTTCTTACCATACCCTTTCCCCCAATAAATTCCACGTGGATAAAAAACTTAAAGGTAATGAAACCCTAAGATTTGAAAAATCCTGAATGTGTTTATTGATGATCTCTGTATAGCGAAGCCCTTTCTGGTGTAGAAGCCACAGATTTAAAAATTACAAATTTAATACCATAAAAGTATACATACTTTTGTATGACAAAATTACTTTTAAAAATGTGACAATCAGGGCAAATACTTGCAACATATATGAGAAACACAGGGTTAATTTTCTTAAATTATAAAAAGCTGGTACAAACCAATAACAAAAAGCTGGCAAGAATCAATAAATTAAAAATTGGGCAAAGAATATGAATGGGCAGTTTATAAGAAAAGTCACACAAATGTGTGCTAAGCACATTCACTTGACATGAAGAATGCATATCCAAATCATAACAGGATACCATTGTTCACCTAATTGGCAAAGACTGTAAAGTTTTTAAAATAATTAGTGCCTGTGAAGAAATGTGGAGAAAGGAACTCACAAATATTGTTATGGGGACTGTTAACTGGGGTCATGTTGCTAATATTAATAGACTCATCTGAGAGCAATTTAACAATATCAGCTGTAATTTTCAATGTATGCTCCCTTTGCTCTAGGAATTCCACTGCTTGAATTTAGACTACTACTGCCTTGACAAAATTATACCAAAATATGTAGGACAAGGATGTACATTACAGCATTGCTTATAATAGTGGAAACAACTGGAATTTACCTAAATATCCACCAGCTGAGACTACTTAGACAACAGAACTTTATGAAGCAGGTTTTAAAAAGGTGAAAAGTTGATAGGTAGAGTTTGCATATAAAGGATTTTTAATTTTAATAAGTAGAAAATAAAGAAGCAAGGGCAACATATTTAACAATATCTGACAAAGTTTTTAAATTGTGTAAAACTTTTGGGCACATTCCCCAATGTATTTATTTATTTATAGAACATATACATGTATATGTACATAAAGAGATACAAAAATAAAGCAAAAGGGGTGAATTAAAACAAAGAAATATAAGCTCTACTATATTTTCATACCCCTGAATTGTTTTAGAGACTTTCTTGGATGTGTGCACCTACTCTACATTAGAGTGGTATGAGTATATCATTATGGAAATTTAAAACTTTGTCTGCAAATTCTTTGACACTTCTTCCATTGGGAGATGAAATTCCCTTCACACTGGGCAAGTTTTGTGGTTGTTTTGACCAATAGGGGAGGAGAGAAATGATACTATATGATACTGAGTCTAGGCTATAAAAAGTGATGCATCTTCTGCCTTGTTGCTAGGATACTTGTTCTTAAGCCTTTAGTGGCTAAGTGGGCAGCCTGAGATCACCATGCTATGAGGAAGCCCAAACTAACACAAGTGGAAAGATGATGGGGAGAGAGATGTGCCCAGGTGCTCCAGCTTTAGTCTCTGCCTGCCCCTGCACAAGCAATACCAGGCCAGCCTGCTGAGCTCTTTCCACGTTCCTGACCCACAGAAACCAGGACTGAGGAGAAACACTTGCTACTGTTTTAGACCACTATGTTTGGGGGTGATTTGTTATGTAGCTATAAATAATAGAAATAACCATGATCCCAAATTTTTGTGCATACTCGTGTGTATGTGTGTGTGTGTGTGGTGTTGTGTACACAATTGGCCCTTGAACAGCATGGGTTTGAACTGTGCAGGTCCACTATACACAGATTTTCTTCTACCTCTGCTATCCCTGAGACAGCAAGACCAGTCCCTCCTCTTCCTCCCCACTCCTCAGGCTACTCAACATGAACACAATGAGGATGAGGACCTTTAGGATGATCTACTTCCATTCGACACATAGTAAGTATATTTTCTCTTCCTTAGGATTTTCTTTTCTCTAGCTTACTTTTTTCTAAGAATACAGCATCTAATACATATAACGTACAAAATAGGTGTTGCTTGACTGTGTTATTGGTAAGGCTTCTGATCAACAATAGGCTTTTCGTAGTTATGTTTTAGGGGAGTCAAGAGTTATATGCAGATTTTCAACTGTGTTGGGGGATTGGTGCCCCTAACCCTCATGTTGCTCTAGAGTCAACTGTATATATATATGTGTACACACATACACACACACACAAAATATTTTTATATATGCAAATGTACATCCACATTTGCTGTGTTTTGCATAATTTTGAGGCAATAGAGAACAGAAGGAACTGCTGAGAATGGTTATTTTTGAGTGGTGGACTGGAAGGCAGGGAAGCTGTGATAGTTAATTTTAGGTCTTAACTGGATTAAGGAATACCTAGAGAGCTGGTAAAGCCTCAAATCTGGGTGTGTCTGTGAGGGTGTTTCCAGTGGAGACTGGCATGTGAGTCAGTGGACCGAGTGGGAAAGATCTGCCCTCAGTGTAGGTGGGCACCATCCAATCAGCTGGGGGCCCATAGAGAACCACAAGGCAGAGGAAAGGAGAATTCTTTCTTTCTCTCTCCTGCACCTGGAACACCCTGCTTCTGTTACCCTTGGATATCAGAACTCCAGGCTTTTCAGCATTTAGAGTCCAGGACACCCTGGGCTCTCAGGCCTTTGGCCTCAGACTGAGAGTTGCACCATTGGCTTCTCTGGTTCTGAGGCTTTTGGACTGAGCCACACTACGGGCATGCAGTTTGTGGGCAGCTTGTCGTGGGACTTCTCTGCCTCCATAATCACATAAGCCAATTCCCCTAATAATCCTCTCCTGTCTGTCTATCTATCCATCATCTATCTATCTATCTATCTATCTATCTATCTATCTATCTATCTATCCATCCATCTATCTATCTCCTATTAGTTTTGTCTCTCTGGAGAACTCTGACTAATACTAAGATCATCTTTGTTAGAAATGGAATGTTAATGCTCTATTGTTGCTGCATGATCTATAATTTTTTTCTTGTGTATCTTTTAAAATGTTTACCTGGCTTGGGAGGAAACCATCCTTTTGTCTGCTCATACTAGCTTTTCTAAAGTCTGGAACCACAAAGTTTCTGCACAGTACCAAGCTGGACTGAACAACAGAATGTGCTTAACGTTATCCAAAACTGATTCTAGTTATCAATTGCGCAGTCCTTGGAGTCATATTTGAAGGTTCACATCCTGGCTGCATCATTTCCTATCCTCTCTAAACCTCAGGTTCTTCTTCTGTAAAACACAAATAATACCAGTACCTACCTATATTAGTTATCTATTGCTGTGTGATAAATTACCCCAAAACTTAGCAGCTTGAACCAATAAACATGTATTAGCTACAACTTCTGTGGTTTATGAAGCCAGGCACGACTCAGTCAGGAGCTTCTGGCTCAAAGTATCTCATGAGGTTGCAATCCAACTGCTGTCTGAGGCTGCAGTCCCATCTGAAGGTGTGACTGGGGCAGGATCCTCTTCCAAGTCCATGCATGTGGTTGCCAATAGGATTCCATCCAATGGAGTCTGTTGGACTGAGGGTTCCACTTCCTCACTGGCTGTTGGCTGGGGGTCTCCCTCAGTGCTTTGTCACATAGACCTCTCTACAGGGTGGCTCATGGCATGGCAGCTGGAGCACCAAAGACAGAAGTCACAGACTTTTTTACAATCTGATCTTGAAGGGGACATCCTATTACTTCGACATACTCTACTCATTCAAGGCAAGTATATGAATCCAGTCCACACTCAAGGAGAAGAGATTATACAAGGAAGTGAATGCCAGGAGGTGAGGATCAACAGGGCCATCGCAGAGGCAGCCTACAAAAGACCTCATAGAGTGCTTGTGAGCATTAAATGAATTAATGTCAGTGTTTAAATCATAGTATCGCTCAACAAATGGAAGGTCTTATTAATATTATAGATATCTGTCCATGTGTAACATTAAATATCAAGTGTTCTTTTCTTTTCTTTTTTTTTTTTTGAGACAGAGTCATGCTCTGTCACCCAGGCTAGAGTGCAGTGGTGTGATCTCCACTCACCGCAACCTCCACTACCTGGGCTCAAGTGATTCTCCTGTCTCAGCCTCCTGAGTAGCTGGGACTACAGGCGCATGCCACCATGCCTGGCTAATTTTTGTATTTTTATTAGAGACAGGGTTTTGCCATGTTGGCCAGGCTGGTCTTGAACTCCTGACCTCAAGTGATCCACCTGGCTCAGCCTCCCAAGGTGCTGGGATTACAGGCGTGAGTCACCTTAAGTGCTCTTTTCCTGCAACTAATTTATGGTGAGATTTCAGTGAGGCCCTTTGGCCAGAAATGTACTAATTTATCCACCTAGGTGTTTTCTCAGACTCCCCAAGGCAACACTGACTTAGGAGCAGCTCCTGCCAAGCAGTGATGTGGGCTAGGCCTGTCATGGCTTTGGGCCCTCTCAGTACAGCTCATCGAGCAGTCACTGAGTCTGTATTAGTGCCTATAACAAGATGGGAACCAAGGTAGTAACTAAGGACTTAGCAGTGAACCAGGCATGTGTAATTTCTGCCTTTACAGGGCATGCAAGTTACTGGAGGGGGTTCAGACAGAGAAAAGACAACTTCAGCCATTCCTGGGCACTCTTAAATACTGATATCCAGAAAGGCATAAACCTAAATGATTACTCTTCTCTTACTACCTCAATATTTGAGGGTAAATGAGGAGGTTTATTATTGTTAATTATTTAATTTCAGAAATACATAATTCATTTAATTAAAATCTATTTAATACCTAAAATGTTATTTTTATGAAATTTACTAACACCAAGTGTGCCCTCACTCTGGTGGAGGCAGGAAACTAAACTGCTTGCCACCGTCATGAGATCAGGCTCACAATGTGGTGATACTCTGGTTTCCTAGGAGACTTAGCCCTGGCACAGGCACACAGCTGGACACATGCAAATAATTGCTATCCTCGCCAGGTGTTCAGCTGCTCTTCGTACAAGCATCCCTACAGTCTCAAAAAGTATATATTCATGCATTCAACAACTGTTTTATGAACAATAAGCAAATGCTATATTGGGGTACTCTTTGGATACCACCTATTTCCAAATTTCAAGGACTGCATTCTCTCCATTCATTGTCCTCCAACACAGCTTTTGAGACTATGAATTGGGGTCTCCCACTCATAGGCATGCCAGCACAGCATAAGGTAGAGAGCAGAACAGGAGCCATCAGAGTGGACTTCGAGTCAATCACAGAAACAACAGCAATAAGCCACAAATACTCAACAAGTGGGGAAAAGGGGCAAGGGAATACAGTTATAAAGCACAAAAGTTCTCCAAACATTTTAAACATTTTCTTCTCACTCTTACAATTCCCACTTTCTGTGTAGGAAAACAAAGAAAAAGAAAGTGACTTATACGAGGTCCTCACTCCTCCAGAGGGAGTTGAGCCAGAGTCTTTACGGGATGAGAAGGGAGAGAATTCGTAATTAAATAAACAGCAAACAAACCTCAGGACAAATGTTACCCCTTATCTTACCTAAACTCTACAGTATTATAATTTACTCAGTCAATCAATAAGTACTTTTTAGCATCTACTCTATACCAGGTACTATTCTAAGCTCAAGTTTTATCACAGTGCTCCAGTTTTCTCCTTGTAATATTTACATTCAGTAAACACTTACCACTAAACCTCCTGGCGTGCAGAGCTATAATCTGTAACCTATTGTACACTTCTGAAAAATGTTAACAGAACCTTAGTTGGCAAGATCAAGAACTCATTAAAAATGGGATTTAGAGAGTAAAAATTTTAAATGATACTATGTTTGAGTAATTACACACATATATATATGTAAAAATATATACATAAACCAAATATTCAGGAAGAAACCAATTCTGAAACAAGCTCTGTCTATATTAAAGAACTCCTCTGCTGGAAATGTTTTCTCCTTAATCTCCTTCAGATATTTAGTATATATCTGTGATATCATGATTTTCTAGAGCATATTCTCCAACAAATGTCATGTTACATAAGCTATGTGTTCTTTCATGTTTAGAAACTAGCCCTTACTGTGAAGTATAACATCTTCTTGCACTCACATCCTCCCTTGTTTTATCTGTGCAAATCTCAGCAAAATCTTGTGTAACTGTATTAGTCAGCTTCACTGCATAACAAACAATCCCCCAAAATCTCAGTAGTTAGATCATCAATGTATTTCCTGCTCATGATACATGTAGGCTATGAGTCTGCTATGGCTCTGTCCCATGTGTTTCGTCATCCCAGGATACAGCTGAAGGAGCAGCTCCTATCTGGAAAATACTTTTCTCTTGGAAGAGGGCAGAAGAGCAAGAGACCAAGTGGAACCACACGATCACATTTAAAGCTTCTGCTCCTAAGTGGCATGTACCTTGTCTACTCACATGTCATTGGTGGATGAAAATCACATGACCAAGTCTGATAGGGACAGGGAAGTACACTTACCTATAAGGGGTCTAAGGCAGGGATGTATAATCCTTTTAAAGGAGAAACGACAAATAATTGCAAACAATACTGTAATCTACTACAGTAACCACTTGGCAATTTCCCAAAATATTGAGGAACTTAAGGGCACATTTTTCTTTTCTGGATCTACATTTCTTTCCATTCATTGAAGGGTAGAACACAGGCAGTTCCTCAATCATGGCATGCATAACCTACAAGAAAGGAAAGTCATCACTCTGAAGGATACTGAACTGAGCCCAACATCTGCTAAAAGATCACAGATTTTGAAATTTTAAAAACAAATGCTGAACCTCATTATTATAACACTAGGGTTAACAAAGGATTGCCATAGTTCACTCAGCATTATCCTGGCAACTTCATTTCACTAATGTCCAATTTTGTTTTTAGTTTCCTGGGATTCAAAACCAAAAGAAGGGAAAGGAGTGGGCTAACGTTCATGCTAACACTTGTACAATGCTCTAAAATTTATTTAAATAGCACTTCCACATTCACAGTAATTGCAGAAGTGATGAACACAGTTAAGAAGGACATGCTCTACTTGGGGAATTAGAATTAGAAGTAGGAGAGGCAGGATAATATTTGCTTTTATATGAGAAGTAAAATTATAGTGTTACATGTGCTTAATCATTGTAGGGACCTAAATCATTGCAGGTATCTGTTTATGCCATTTGTTGGAAAAAACTGGGACAGGATACTGTTTTCCTTCCTTTAATATTTTTAAATCACCGCCTACATGACAGGCGCTGTGAGATGAATATCTCATACTTACATATACACACGTCTATTATTTCCACGTCTCTGATTTTTCCCTGTACCCAGGGATTTACTTCTAGTCATAAAAGATGGCTTACCTTAGATTTCCTGCCATAAAGCTCCTTCCCTTTATACTAAGTCATACTTTCTACAGTTGGCTTAAGAGACACATTTTATAATGAGAAAACTAAAATGGAGTCTTTTTAAAGACATGCCCAAGACACTCATACTAACAAGATGACTACTTCACTCCTTAATTTGTGGTCCATTGAGATGACTGATTGACATGCAGATAGTTGGATAGATCAATAGATACATAGATAGCTACATGGATGAAAGAGAGATGATAAAGAGAGAGACAGAGATGAAACATAGATGATAGAGAGAGATGAATAGTTTCTCACCCTTGGTGTACAAAGTGAGGAAGTCAAGGTGAAACAATGGCAAGCACTATGCCTCGGTCATAGTACCCACATCAAATTGGAGAACATGGTCAAGTCAACCATCTAGGAAAGAAACAAGAGCCGTGTCCACTTTGTCATTCAAATAAATGTCCACGATGAATACTGTGCCTTCTTAAAGAACTTGGAGCTCAACATTTTGACATTTTATATAGTAGCCAGCACATTATGACCATGTGGTAGATGTTATAGTGAATTATGTCCCCCTAAATTCATATGTTGAACCCCTAATCCCACTAACCTCAGAATGGGACTCTATTTGGAGACGGGGTCTCAAAGAGGTAATTAAGTTCAAATGAGGTCATTACTGTGAGCCCGAATCCTATATGACTGGTGTTTGTTAACAAGAGGAAATTACGATACAGATGCACTCAGGGTGAAGACTGTGTAAGGTGAACTGGTGAAGGTGGCCATCTATAAGGCAAAGAGAAAGGCCTCAAGAGAAACCAACCCTGACGGCACCTTGATCTCAGACATCTAGCCTCCAGAATTGTGAGAAAATAAATTTCTATTGTTTAAGCCACTCAGTCTAGGGTACTTTGTTATAGTAGCCCTAGCAAACTAATATAGTAAATATTTTAAAAACCAGCTTCAATTTATTTGGAAAAAAAGAGACAGTATTACCAATACTTATATTTACATAGTAAGGCAGCATGGAAAATGGGTATATACTTGCTTTCGTCTGGGCCTGGGTGCAACTCACTGGCTCTACCACTTACTAGCAATGTATGTAACCTTGGACAAATTACTGAATCTCTTTGTACCTCAGTTTGCAGATCTGTAAAACGGGGTAATTGTACTTATCTCACAAAGTTGTTAGGAGGAATAAATGAATTAATAATGTTTGAAAGCACTTAGAATAGTGCTTAACACATTGTGACCAATGCATAAATATGAAATACAACAGTTGGAAAGTATTGTGAAATCCAGTCTATAAAAATCCTTTTAAATTCTAACAATGAAAAAAAAATAAGTGTAGATTATTCTGATTACAGTGAGAAAATATTTGTCACAGCATTCAGAGTTCCTAATCTGTTTAGTAGAGGGGTTACTGGGTTGAGTTTGCATTTTGGGGAAGAGAGAATGTGTGCTAATGACAAAGATGGTCATTACCCATGCACCCTGATGGCAGTAATTGTGAATCATTTCCGGAGAGGATTTTAACATTTGCCAAAGATTTGACACTTGCTGGCTTTCCCCGCAACATTCATTGCCATGAGCCATGGAGGGGGTACAGAATGTGTGCTGAAAAATGTTCACAGGTGCTATTTGCACATGACTTGCTGTAGAACGGGGGTAAACACAACTTGGTTTCTACTGGTCAAACTTTAACTCAAGATAAACTTGCTGACTGTGAAGTGTACCGCATGATTGCTCAGTGTGTGATAGCAAACATAAACAGTCGGGGGAGCGGGGGCTCCCAGGGTCTGGGGACCAGTGTGTGTATCTTTCAGGAAGGCCAGCCTGGCTGCAATCTGCTCTGGTCCGGCGGACCCCCGCAGTTTACCCCTGCTTGTGGGTTGTCAATCAGAAACATCACATGGTTGACTGTGAAGGTGTTTGGGGACCTAGAGCTCCCAGCCCACTGATTTTTAATACTCATTATGGTTTCTGCTTGGAAATCCTGAAGGACTGGCAACTGCCTAGATAGCAGTTTTGACCAACAGAATCTTAAATAGAAATGACTAGTCATGGAAAATGAGTTTTTAAAAAATTAACTTAAAAAAAAAAATTTAGACTCAGGGTATACTTATGCAGGTGTGTTAGAAGTGTATATTGCATAATGCCGGGGTTTGGGCTGCTATTGAATCCATCACCCCAATAGTGAACATAGTACCCAATAGGTAGTTTTTCAGCCCTTACCCCACTCCCTTCATCTCCCCTTCTGGAATCCCCAGTGTCTACTGTTTCTATCTTTACGTCCACGTATGCCTATTGTTTAGCTCCCATTTATAAGTGAGAACATACGACATTTGGTTTTCCTTTTCTATGTTAATTCACTTAGGATAATGGCCTCCAGCTGCATCCATATTGTTGCAAAGGATATGATTTTATTCTTTTTTTAGAGCTGCGTAATATTCCATGGGGCCACAGGATATTCCTGGTACCACATTTTCTTTATCCAGCCCACCATGAATGGGCACTTAGGTTGATTCCATCCTCTTTGCTATTGTGAGTAGTGCAACAATAAACATTTGAGTGCAGGTGCCTTTTTGACAGAACGATTTCTGTTCCTTTGGGTAGTTACCCAGTAGTGGGGTTGCTGGGTCAAATGGTATTCTATTTTTAGTTCTTTGAGAAATCTCCATACTATTTTCCATAGGGGTTGAACTAATTTACATTCCCAATAACAGTGTATAAGCAGTCCTTTTTCTCCACATCCTTGCCAGCATCTGTAATTCTTTTTTTTTTTTTTTTTTTTTTTTTTTGAGACGGAGTCTCGCTCTGTCTCCCAGGCTGGAGTGCAGTGGTGTGATCTCAGCTCACTGCAACCTCCACCTCCCAGGTTCAAGTGATTCTTCTGCCTCAGCCTCCCGAGTGGTTGGGACTACAGGCACCTGCCAACGTGCCTGGCTAATTTTTGTATTTTTAGTAGAGACGGAGTTTCATCATATTGGTCAGGCTGGTCTTGAACTCCTGACCTCGTGATCCGCCCACCTTGGCCTCCTGTAGTGCTGGGATTACAGGCTTGAGCCACCACGCCTGGCCTATTGACTTTTTAAAAGCCGTTCTCACTGGTGTGACATGGTATCTCATTGTGGTTTTAGTTTGCATTTCTCTGATGATTAGTGATATTGAGTATGTTCTCATATATTTGTTGGCCACATGCATGTATTCTTTTGAGATGTGTCTATTCATGTCCTTTGCCCACTTGGAAAATGAGTTTTATAAACCAATTGGGAAAAGAGGAAAGTGTCATCAGTAGGGAGATAGCCCCTGAGATAGATTTTGGAGGATATTACTTCTCTGAGTTCAAACTTGCCTTTGATACACTGGAAACATTTTTATGAGCATAAAAATTACTAAAAGAGACTTGAAATATTTTTCTCTCGTGTCAGTTCAATCCATGGAGCTATTAAAATTTTCAAAACTTCAGGGCAAGAAAGATATATATCATCTGAATGTAAGCATTTGAGTAAGAAATCTCTGCCAGGGGTGGGGCGGGTAGGTTGACAATACTTCATATATATTTTTATTAACATAGAACTGAGCCATTGCTAACCTCTCATATCTAGAAAATAGCTTGGAAACAATGAATTTTAAAAAAATAAAACAACACTTGAGAAACACTTTTCTTATACTTTTCTCAGAGAAGAACCAGCCCTCAGTTCCTGACTTGGAAAGCATTTATGTTTATTGTACACATATCCCTAACCAGTGTGAGTTTCTCCATGCCCGTAGCAATTTAGAAATAGAAAATCAGCATTAGGGAGAAGGCTTTGCATAGTCTTGCACACTAACAAGAAGTAACTGCTGATGGCCCAAAGAAGAGAGCAACAGAAAAAAGGTGCAAAAAACAGACAGGCACAAGAATTCCAGAAGGCACAGTCATTGGGACCTCTCAGGTGTGCAGGCAAATATTTCTCTCTCTCTCTCTCTCTGTGTGTCTGTCTCTGTGTGTGCGTGTGTGTGTCTCTCTCTGTATGTGTCTCTCTCTGTCTCTCTGTCTGCATCTCTGTCTGTGTATGTATGTCTCTCTCTGTCTCTCTCTCTCTCTCTTTCTCTGTCTCTGTGTGTGTGTGTGTGTGTGTGTGCGCGTGTGTGTGTCTCTCTCTCTGTATGTGTCTCTCTCTGTCTCTCTCTCTCTTTCTCTGTCTCTGTGTGTGTGTGTGTGTGTGTGTGTGTGTGTCTTTCTCTCTCACTTCTCTGTCTCTCTCTCTCTCTCCCCCACCATGGCCTAAACCCATTATTTTTTTTATCCAATAGCAGTGAAATCAGTTCTTTTCGTGATGATGTTAAGACTGAAAAAAAGAGAAAAAAAAGAGTTGTTAAATAAAGTTCCTCCACTCTTTAAGAAAGCAGGGGCGGTTGAATTACATTTTAGAAAATTTTCTACCAAAATCCTTTTCTTTTCTTCCTTCTTTCTTCCTTCCTTCCTTCCTCCCTCCCTCCCTACTTTCTTTTCTTTCTTCTTTCTTTCTTCCTTTCTTTCTTTTTTTTTCTTCTCTCTCTCACCTTCCTTCCTTCCTTCCTTTCTTCCTTCCTCCCTCTCTCTCCTTCCTCCCTCTCTCTCTCGCTCGCTTTCTTTCTTTCTTTCTTTTTCTTTCTCTCTCTCTCTCCCTCCCTCCCTCCCTCCCTCTCCTTCCTTCTTCCCTCCCTCTCTGCCCACCTCCATTCTTTCCTTCCTTCCTTCCTTTCTTTCTTTCTTTCTTTTGGTGCTTTGAAGGACCACCCCTTACTTACCTAGAACTCAGCAATCCAGAATGGCTACAAAGCAAGCCGAGATTTTATGGTGTTTGTGCCACCATTTGCCAGTATATAGATGTGGGATTACACGTTGTGTGATCAATATGAATTCCTATCCTTTAAGAATCGCCTCATGATTTTTAAGTTTCTGAACAGCTGAACGATTGTTGAAGATACTGTTACTTGAAAGGAGAAGAAATAAGGAGAAAAAAATGAATGGAGGGAATTGTTAGATGATATATTAGAACAAACATTACATCATCAACAGAGTGAGAGGGTAAAAGGGAGTTCCCTTAAGGCACAAACAAAATTTCACCATCCCATTTATTTTTACTTTTAATTTAGTTCACAGACTTCAAAACCTGCTCATTATCACCAAATGCTCTTTCAAGTGATGAAGGGCTGAAAGAAAAACCGAAGTCACCTCCACACGATATATAAGAAATGTTGGCACATCCAGATCTTCCTAAGGAAAGAGAGTTAGACTACAGAAATGCTGAATGCAAGCCTTATCAATTGCATCCTTCCTTCCTTCCTTCCTTCTTCCCACTCATAATACACACATATGCCCCTTGTATGTTAGGAACATTGCACTGGAGGGAATGTATAAAAACTCTAAGTTAATTCTTCTCTGAGGGCTTGCTATCAGCGAGGTACATACAGGGTTAAAGTACAAATACTTGATTATCACTTGACCACACCCCAGTGAGGAAACTGAGGCTCAAGAAATTTAAGTAAAGTTCTGAAAGACACATGGCTTGCAAACAACTGAGATGGGATTTAAAACAAGGTTGTTTATTAACCACTGGGCTCCACCATCTGACAATCGGGAGTAAATAGTGATCCCTGGAAATAGATGACCCCCATTTTCTTAAAGGGCAGAGATCAGTTGAGAAAAATAGCCACTTTGATGGTATAGACCTGGAGTGTGTAGAGGACCTTTGCACTACGAAGAATGGAATTGCTGGGCCCACTGATGGCGCTTAATAATTGACAGATGGCCTGTCTAAGTGACTCACATGCAACTCAAATTTCAGGTCTGGAAAGGCCATGGGCTAATGTGGAAAGGAGGTTCATCCCTGGGCAGCTTCTGTGGCCAACCACCCCGTTTAGACAGTTCTCTGTTCGTGGAGAGCTCTCTGCTACAGTAAGCAAAATGTGTACAACCTGATCCCAACTTTTATTATACACCAAGAGGATGTCAGTAACCAAGTCATACCTGCCTGGGCAATGTGCTCTGTATACAGATCTCCATCAGTCACACAACAGATGCTTCATTCTTGGTGACAAAAGGTGACCTCAATTTCTTTAAAGATATAGCAAGCCCTAAGGATCCAATTATATGGGGATTGGGCCAAGTGATCCCAGAGGCCCTGTCTTCTACTATTTTGAGATATTTACAAAATGCAGATAAAGGAATTGGAAAATAGAAATACGTAAACTGGGAGAAGAGAGAGAGAGAGATAAATTGACTTCCGAAATTATTAGCCTGTCAACATAACATATGGAGAAATATAGCAACCATTGATGAAAATATCAAGTTGTCAGCACTTAAACAGAATGCTAAGAAAGCACTAAGCTGTACAACCATATAACACACCAAGCCTCTTGGACTAACACAATTTCCTTATGAGACAAAATGGCAGATGATGAAGCTGCAAATGCTTTGCCTCCACACTTCAGTGAGACCAGGCTAAGCAGGTGGGCCTGAGTACTAGATACTTGGGGAAAGGTTAGACTCCTTGGGAGTAAGCTTGGCGAGTTTGCCAAATCTTTGGGAATGGTTCATTCTTTAGCATTACAGGACAGTCACAAGTACCTAGAACAGGAGCTTCTCGCGTTCACCTTGCAGACCTGGCATTATTGCTTTTTTGTGGTCTCCTGGCTCTGGGTGTAAAGTCAGAGGCCAACACTTATTGAGTAAGTGTTCGATAACACTGGTTGATGGAAATAGTAGGTGCTCTGTAAGTACTTGCTCTTTGAGTCATTAATGCTTGAAAACACAGTATTTAGTCATAATACTCCACCTCACTACACTAAAGCCAAAACACAGTGTCCACATTTCTGATTTAGGGAGAACATTCATCATTTTAAAGAAAAGTATATAAATACCACAACCTTCAAAATTATTGAGACTTTTGACATTAAAAGCAATATAGAGTCATTGTAGAAAAATCTTAAAATACTTAAAAACAGGCCAGGCGCAGTGGCTCATGCCTGTAATCCCAACACTTTGGGAGGCCAAGGAGGGCAGATCATGAGGTCAAGAGATCGAGACCATCCTGGCCAACATGGTGAAACCCTGTCTCTACTAAAAATACAAAAATTAGCTGGGCATGGTGGTGTACGCCTATAGTCCCAGCTACTCAGGAGGTTGAGGCAGGAGAATCACTTGAACCCAGGAGGCGGAGGTTGCAGTGAGCTGAGATCATGCCATTGCACTCCAGCCTGGGCAATAGAGTGAGACTCCATCTCAAAAAAAAAAAAAACAAAAAAAAACTAAAAAATATAAAGAACCAGAAACAATCACCTGTAATCTCATAATTCTACCACCTAGAGATAATGAGTTAACATTTTAGTACATTTCTTTCCAATTTTTTCACATATATACACACACATTCATACATATTTAAAATTATAATTATATGGAAAATATGGCTGTATATCTGTCTTTTTCACAGAATGTTATAGATTGGGCATTTTCACTGATCAACAGCCATCTCTGAAAATGTGATTTTTACATAGCTACACAGCATTCCATCATCCGAATGGACTATGATGAATTTAAGTGTTTCCTCATTTTTGTATACTGGGGATTTTTCCTGTAGTCTAAGGAATGCTTCAGTGAACATGCTTATCCATAAATCATTTTACATACTTCTGATTATTTTGTTAAGATAAACATCCACAAGCAGAATTACTAGGACAAGGGAATATAAACACTTTTATGGCTCTTGTTATACATTTCTCAAAATATTTTTTGAATTATTCTTTTCTGCATCTCTATTTTATTTTAGATTCAGGAGGTGTATGTACATATGCGTCGGTATATTGCATAATAGTGGGATTGGGCTTCTAGTGTACCTGCTACCCAGATAGTGAACATAGGCCAGGTGCCGTGGCTCTCATGTGTAATCCCAGCACTTTGGGAGGCCAAGGCAGGTGGATCACTTGAGATCAGGAGTTTGAGATCAGCCTGCCCAACATGGCGAAACTGTGTCTCTACTAAAAATACAAAAATTAGCCAGGCGTGGTGGCGCATGCCTGTAGTCCCAGCTACTGAGGAGGCTGACGCAAGAGAATCACTTGAACCTGGTGAGCGGAGGTTGCAGTGAGCCAGGATCGTGCCATTTCATTCCAGGGTGGGCGACAGAGCAAGACTTCATCTCAAAAAAAAAAACAAAAAACAAAAAAACAAACAAAAAAAAAGTGAACATAGTACCTAACAGCCTAACAAGTAATTTTTGAACCCTTGCCCCTCTTCCATTCTCCCCACTTTGGAATCTACAGTGTCTGTGATTTCCATCTTCATGCCCAAGGTACCCATTGTTTAGCTCCCACTTGTAAGTGAGAACACACGGTATTTGAGATCAAAAGGAAGTTATGGAGAGAAATAACAAGTTTGGTTTTGTGTTTTTAGCCCTATTGCCTCTTTTCGTCCAGCCCAGGCCAGTATACTCATTTGTCATCTTTAGGGCTGTTTGTCCTGTTGATTGTGCCCTGCATCTCAGGAGAACTCACCCTAGAGAGGTCTCTGTTATCGATGGTCTGTGTTGCTTCGTTCACACGTGGGGCCCGCGATCCGGGGTCCTGTGCATCCTGATGCACCCTTTGTGGAAACAGGAGTTGCTCTGCAGAGAGTTGGTTTCAAGGCTAGAACAAACCCTACAATCATTGGCCTATTGTCTAAAAAGGTAAGTAAAAATACACAAGAAAGATTGATTCCATTGAATGCAAAATCCTAAATTACTTCCTGACCCTTTGGAAGTATTTCTACACAGCTCTTCCCAGCATTCTAGCAGATTTCAGGAAACTCAAGGGACATTCTTAGCCACAGAAAAAGTTGCTGAATCCAAAAAACTCAATGAGGATCATTTTCAAATACGGTGTTCTGTTACATGCAACGATAACCTGAAGTTAGGATTATTTCAATTGTTTCTTTTATGTAGTAAAATATTAAGTTTGCTGTTTACTTTAAAAGGTAGGTGGGATTTCTAATTTCATTTAATCTGATGATTAAAATAATCAGATTTTGCCCTTTTTTTCTGAAAATTTACTTTGCAATGAGCACAGACTATATTCATGTTAATCATAAATACCCTCCTCCCCTTTCCAGGTAAGTTGAATTTTAATTATAATAATAGGTAGATTTTCTTAAGTGTTTCTCCTTATCCTTTCTTATGGCCTACTTTCCCATCTTACCTTACTTTTTCCCTCTTCGTCTTCGATATTATACAAAACACATTCTGAAAAATTTATGCAAAATAATTTAATATTATATGTAAACAGCATCACCAAATATATTCCCACATTTCAGGAACTTGGATGGAAGTTCCTGCTGATAGATTCATGGAGTCAAAGAAAAAAAAAAATGGGACCTTGGGATATTAAACATAATTCCCTCATTTTAGTAAGGAAACCGGAGCCCAGAGAAGTGAGTCTTTGGGTTTGTCATTTGATCAAGTGTACAGAGCAGGAGCAATAATAAACATAATAACTGACTTCTTTATAGCCCTTTACACTTTATAAAACACATTCACATTCAACATTTACAGGTATCGCCATTCTGGCCTTTCAGTAAATAAAACGCCCCTGTGCTCTATTTACCTCCAGGAGACCAATGTGGCTGATTTTATATCTGGTATTATTTCATTTATTGGCTGCTGCTGATGGCAGCACCCTTCGCCGGGAGACTCGGAGGCATTTAAGATGGATTCATGTACGAAACAGCAGGCTAACACTTTGGGTGGGCCGATGTTAAATGGAGAGTAACATATCCTGCCCTGCCAATGAAAAAACCACGGCCACATCTGAAGGGCAGAATCCCAGTGTCAGTGGGATTTGAAGATTTGTAAAAAGCTGTTACTGGCCACATCTGCCATTTGGGACTCCAAGGACCAGATTAAATCTCAAAGAAACCCAAAGTTGTGCCCTTCAATGGCCAAGGCTGGGTTTCTCCAATGAAAGCATCAAATTGGATGTCTTTGTCAGTTACGTCTTCATGGAAGGTGATGGTAAGGACTCACATGGCATCATAAAATAACATTAATCATGACCGGGCGTGGTGGCTCACGCCTGTAATCCCAGCACTTTGGGAGGCCGAGGCAGGTGTATCACGAGGTCAGGAGTTCGAGACCAGCCTGACCAACATGATGAAACTCTGTCTCTACTAAAAATGCAAAAAAATGCCTATAATCCTAGCTACTCAGGAGGCTGAGGCAGGAGAATCACTAGAACCTGGGAGGCGGAGGTTGCAGTGAGCCGAGATCATTCCACTACACTCCAGCCTGGGTGACAGAGCAAGACTCTGTCTCAAAAAATAATAATAATAATAATAATGTTAATCCCTTATCTGAGATAGTTTTCCTATGAATTCATTGACATTTTCAACATTTAATTGAGCATTTCTGTTTTTCAGGCACAGAGGGAGGGATGTGGAGGAGAACAAGGCATGATGCTGTCCTGAAAGTGCTCCTGGTCTGGTGGGCACATCTGTCCTGCCACGCCTCCAGGATCTATCTTGAATTGTTGCAGTGCTGCACTTCCTTGTAGATGATGGCACAGTTCATTATGACTCTTCGGAATATCTCAGCCTTTTCATCCTTGTAGTAAGTTTTGCATTGGACATTTACTCTTTAGCAGGGTGGATTAGTTTCTTAGAACTGTCATAACAAATTACCACAAACGGAGTGGCTTAAAGCAACACAAATTTATTCTCATAATTCTGGAGGCTAGAAGTCCAAAATCAAGGTGTCACCAGGGTCAGACTCTTTCTGATGGCTCTAGGGGAGGGTCAGTCCCACGCCTTTCTCTTAGCTTCTGGTGTGACTCACAGCTCTTGACATTTTTTGGCTTGTAGATGCATCACTCCAATCTCTGTCTCAATTGTCACACCATGTTCTCCTTATATCTCTTCCTTGCTTCTCATAAGGACACCAGTCATGTTGGCTGAGGCCCATCCTAATTCACTGTCACCTCATCTTTGCTTGATTACATCTATAAGACCGTATTTTCAAATAAGGTCACATTCACAGGTACCGTGGGTTGGGTCATAAACAGAGCTTTCTAGGGGGTACAATTTCACGCATAACAGGGGATTCGATTCATCCAAACCCTTTCTCAGTAGAGACAGTAAAAGTACTTTCCCCTTCAGCTGCCAGATTGCAGTTTCATATGGCTATGCTCACAATAAAGCAGAAAGGCCACGGTTCCTTGAGCTCCAGAGTGGGCCACAGATGGTTAAAACAATGTGGAGCATGTTTTAAGGGGAGAGAGGACAGAGCAGCCTAAAGTGGTCCTTCCAATAAGTGACATTGCGTGTGTCCCTCTTGCTTTCATCTTTATGTGTGTATCACACATTATCCTTCATCCTAATGTCTTTTTCTCCTTGTTCCAGTGAAGCGGCAAAGACAGTAAAAGTGCCGAGCTCCTGCTGTAAGTCAGGTGCCATTCATGCCCCCCAATCCATTTGGACCTCTCACTGTCCATTCTCTGTGACAGGGGTTGCAGCCACTGTCCTGACAGACCCTGTTTGGCTACTCTTAGTGTGAACGGCCTACCTGGTAGAGCTTTCATTTAGGCAGCAGAGTGCACATCTTGTTTCCATTTCCGTCATTTGCATTGGAAGTGCTTTTTCCCCCTAATGAATACATAGTCATAAAGAATCCAGTTCAGCCTGTCGTGCTGTTGTCACTGGCATCAGCTAGAAGGCTGGCAAGTAATGATCCCACCTGGAAGAGCACAAAGCAGTCAGCTCCTGTGCTCCGTACCATGTAACTCACCCATACCACATCCCTCGTTCATTCCAGCATGGCTCCTTCTTCACATGTGGTGGTGTTTCTGTTTCTATTGATTCTATGTGATGCCTTGCTTGACCCAACATCATGAATGGAAATTTTTGATGGGCCTAACCCCTTCACTCTGCATTTTCCAGGTAAGGCGTTGGTCTCAACAGGAGCTAAAGTTGTGCTGGGAAAGGACGGCCATGAGAGAGAAGTTTTCCTCTCCCCATAGGTGGCCCCCAGCAGAGAGGCAGGACGGTTGATGCACAAAACTATAGGAAGAATGATTGCCTTTTCTTGCCATCAGAAATTGTGACTTACCTTCTTGTGGCAAGTGGCACTTCATTGGGTGTTCTAAAGACACATTCATCATAGTCCCTGCTCATTGGTGACATAATACCTCATATGAACTGCAAGGACAAGACAAGCATATAAAGAACATTTAGGCAACTAAACAAGTATACTAAAAAATCTTTAGATTGTATATAGGCAAAAGGAAACTGCATTTTCTGATAAATGAATACAAGTCATAAGAGTTCTTTTGGGGAGGAATGGCCATCTTTCTTCTAGTTACAGAAAATTTTGTAGTGAAGTAATTTAAAAAAAATCTTTATATCCTAATTCATTTAGTAACAAATTAAGTGTATAGTTAAGATTCTCAGTTTCAAGTGAGAGAAATGAAACTCAAATAAGGGCAATATATTTGTTTATGTACCTGAAAATCCTCAGGCTAAACATAGTGGCTCATGCATGTAAGTCAGTTACTTTGGGAGACCAAGGTGGGAAGATCACTTGAGGCCAGGAGTTCAAGACCAGCCTGGGCAACATAACATGACCTCATCTCTACAAAAAAAAAAAAAAAAAATCACTGGGCACAGTGCATGCCTGTAGTCCCAGCTACTTGTAGTCCCAGCTACTTGGGAGGCTGAGGCAGGAGAATCATTTGAGCCTAGGAGTTGAGGCTGCAGTGAGCAATGACTACATCACTGTACTCTAGCTTGAGCAACAGAACAAGACCCTGTCTCTAAAAGAAAGAAAAAAAAGTTCAAGGGTGGTGCCAGATCCTTGAAAAATGTCTTCAGGAATTTTCTCCAGGCATTTTAGCTTTGCCTTCCTCTCTCTTGATTTCATTCTCAAGCAGGCAATCACTATTTTTTGACAAGATGTCCACCAGAAGCTCCAGGCTAATTTTCTATAGGTTTAACCACCCCGGAAGAGAATTTATCCTTTTCAAAACTTCTAGCATAACCCCTGGGGCTGACAATATTGGTTCTGATAAGCTCAGCATATAACACATACTCATTCCTGAACCACCAGCATGGTTAAAATTCTTATTGACCAGACTTGGACCACATGCCCCACCCCTGGGGTTAGGGGTAAGAGTCAACCCCACCAGAAAACAGACACTGAGAGTCAGGGAGGGGTGGTTCTTTGGTATCACAGGAAGAAGTGGATGTTGATCAAGCCAAAGCCCCAGATGCCCATAACACTATGCAGAAAGAATGTACATTGTTCTGAGATGCTGATTAAGAAATACAAATCAACCTCAGCTTTTTAAAGTAATTTTAAAAGGTCAACTTGCAGTGTCTTTCATGGAATTTCTGATTACTTCGAGCTAGTAATCGAGTCAACAATAAATTCTTTGTTTCTCTTGCAAACCCACATTGTCCAGGAACATTTCCTGTTAATACCTATTTTAGAGTATTACATGAGTCTTGAGTCTTTCTTTCAGGAATAAAGGTAACAAACTGACAGAGGTAAAAAACAAACAAAAAAAAAGTGGTGGGGTAATTTTAAAATTTTTATATCATAATTGTCTTCAGCAGGAAATTCTATATGGCTGAGTGATTTTTGAACAGAGAGCAAATAATTATTTATATATTTTTTTTTCTTTTTTTTTTTTTCCTTTTTTTTGAGACAGAGTCTCGCTGTGTTGCCCAGGCTGGAGTTCAGTGGTGCCATCTCGGCTCACTGCTGCAAGCTCCGCCTCCCGGGTTCACGCCATTCTCCTGCCTCAACCTCCTGAGTAGCTGGGACTACAGGCGCCCGCCACCACGCCCCGCTAATTTTTTGTATTTTTAGTAGAGACGGGGTTTCACCGTGTTAGCCAGGATGGTCTTGATCTCCTGACCTTGTGATCCGCCTGCGTCGGCCTCCCAAAGTGCTGGGTTTACAGACGTGAGCCACTGCGCCCAGCCTAGATTTTTTTAAAAAGATAAAAAGCAATCACTATGTTTAGTACATGCAATGAAAAAAACATGAAAGAAACTCTCTCATGGGCTAGATACTGCCATTTTCTGGGACGGCACTGTAATGTCTATCTCCAGTTCTAATTTTCTTTTTCACCTCAAAATTTTAGTATTCACTGTGACTTATATTTGATTTGTTGGATCCTTAATAATGGCTAAATTTAATTCCACTTTTTCTTTCATTAGAATCAGGGCCAGGTTTTTAAAAAGAAATCCACACACTATAAACTCAAAAGCCAAGTTGTATTAAAAGTCAGATTTTCAACTGCATGGAGAGTCAGCGCCCTAACCCCTGCATTAGTCACAGGTTAACTGTATATGTGTACACATGCACATACATCTAGTGTTTATATATATTCAAATATACATACACGTTTGCTGTGTTTTTCATAACGTAATAAGCGCTTCCTATGCAGCAGGCACTGTGCTGTATGGGAGACCATCTTTGCCTTACGGAGCTTACATTTTAGTTGGGGAGATCATGACAAACAAATGAATAAATACATCAGCCAGATGATTAAAGACCGTGATCAGAGCCATGTAGAAAATAAACAGGGTGGTGAGACAGACGAAAGCTGGGAGAGCCTATTGTAGGTGGAGGTCAGAGAACCTCTCTGAAAAGGTGACATCTTCAGTAGGGCAGTAGGGCCTCATGGAGGTGAATGATCAGTCACTACAGCAGAACAGAAGGCAGGCCAGTGTAATTGGAGTGAGGTCAGTGGAGTAGGTAGGAGACAAATTAAGCAGGGCTTCATAAACCATGGTAGAAATATAAATTCGATTCTATATTTCAAATATAGAAATATTCATCATGAAGGGATTCATGAAGTCATGAAGGGATTCATAGCCAAGAAGTGGCATAACTTGATTCAAATATTAAAATGGTCACTTGTGCTCCTATAGAAAGAATGTGTGTCTCTATGAGAAATAAAATAGGGGCTTAAACAAGAAAGAGATTCCTCTAACATAAAAGCATTGTGGACGGGGTTAAGGATCCCAGATGGGCCCAACAGCTCCACGTCCCTCAGAAACCTAGTCTTCTCTATCACCCTACCCCATTGTCTTAGAAAATAGTTCCCATCCACAGACGTGCAAGACGGTCAGAGCAATTCCTGACATTTTGTCTGAGTTCTGGACTATAAAAGAGAAGGAGCAAAAGAAGACAGAAGTGTTCCCATCCCGTCCAAATCAGCTTCCCTGAAGCATCCTCTTTCGAAGTCACACAAAACACTTCCGCTTACATCTCATTGGCCAGAATTTAGTTACACGGTTACACTTAGCAGGGGAGGTGAGGAAACATGGTCTTTCACTTATGATGTCTACGTTAGTAAGATACTTACAGCTATCAGAACAAACAACCAAAATACTCTTAATGGCTCAAACATGATACAGGATTGCTTCTCACTCATATGAAGTCCAAAATGATGTTCTGGATTGGCAAGTGGTTTTCCTTCAAGCAGGGATCTAAGGACCCAGGTTTCTTCTATCTTGTGCCTCTTTCATCTTCAACACTTGTCTTCCAATATCTTGTTACTTATCTGCATTAAGCTGTAGAACGATAAAGAGCATAGAGAACCATCATGGGTTTCTGTAGGCCAGGACTACAGAAGTGTGAGTAGAAGGGACACATCGCTTCAGCTCAGTAATGGCCAGAACTCAAGCACACCATGCACATAACCACAAGGGAGGCTGAGAAATGGCATCTGGTTGTGCCGAAGAAGACAACCTGGGCTCATGGCATGACCAGCCAGCAGCCTCTACCACTGGGGAAATGAGTCCAGCCAAAAACTAGAGTTCTGTTACCAAGAAAGAACCTTGGGAGATAGGTGGCACTTTGTGTCACAGGAGGCAACAGTGAAAACAGAAGATCGGTTCCACTAAAGAGCTAGCAAGCACATAAATACTTGCTGTCTGCCAGCAATGACAGGGCAAACTTAGAACCAAAAGATGACATAGTTCTACTGCAGATTCTGTTTTGCAATGACGCTTCTGCACAAATATCTCAAGGATTTGCTTTTAGGCCACAAAACATTCTCAGAATGAAATTGCTATGATTATGCAATTTAATTGTTATTAATTATTTGATTTTATTAATATTATAGAAAGCTTTTTAACAGTCTAGATGTGCTCCATAATCAGATATGAAGGCTTTACATGTTTGGCCATATAGAGAGAAACCTAGTATTAGTGATGTAACATTGCTGTAAACCCAACTGAAGAAATTCCTGGTTGTGAGCTTTTACATATAAGGTGTTCATTTTGAAATGCTACTTCTATGTTCCAAATTTCTGTTTCCATTGATCATTTATTAATTTGGTTTTTTAAATCTTGAGTTTTATTTAATCTACAAAATATGCTACTGCAAAAGAGAAGGGTACTGGCTGGGGGAGCCCACATGTGAATCCCAATGCTCACAACCATTCTCACTCAAATAATTAACATCTGGTGGACATTTACTATGATGTTCTAGGACAGCTTAGTGGGTCCAGCATAAGTGTAGAACCTTGAAAGGATAGACCAGCAGGCCTTAAAAATACAAAGGAGAGAAAAAACAAACATAATGACACTAGGAGGAGAAGGAGTAGATTTGAACATATATGAATCAATCAGAAAGTAGAGTTAATTTAGTTAAGTGGTCAAGAGCACAATATTTGAATTATGTCGGACCTATATTCAAATTCTCACTCCGCCACTTCAAAACTATGTAAAACTGGAGAAGTCACTTAACCTCTCTGAGCCTCACTTTCCTCATCTGTAAAAAACAGAGGATAATAACAACCTCATAAAGTCCCTGGTGTAGTCAATGCCTGGATCATACTATAGTAAACACATGAACAATCGTGGCGATGATTAATAACCAATGGGTTAGCATACCACTAGTCCATCCAGGGCTTGATGCCAGATGCAGCTGAGTGCTAAAAAGACAGATCTTCTGTAAAGACCTTTGCAGAAACTCCAACAAGTCAGACTGGACAGCATGCATGACACAGTCAGGAAATCTCACGTCACATGTTTAAGTCCTAAATGTTTGACAATGTCTCTAAGCGTCCCAGGAGTTCAGAAGAAAAAGACTTGTGATAGAAGGGAGACCTGGGCTTCATGGATTGGAACTTGTCCTGAGCTTTGAAGGCTGTATAGGGTTGGCATAGGTAAAAGAGGAACATTTAAGGTGTCTGTGCCTGGGACAGAGTAGTTACCTCAAAACAGAATAAATGAATGAATGAATGAATGAGCAGGAACAAAAGACTAAGACAGCAAGTCTAGTTCGTGAGTGAATGGACTCCTTAATCACTACCTCTGGTGGGTGTTAATGTGTTGGGAGATGCATTGGCTACAGTGTGGGGAACCATGTGAGCAGAGCTTTCTAAACTGGGTGAGGAGTTTGGGTTGAAGTGTGGAGGAATTATGGAGCAGAGGAGGAAAATGATGAAAGCAGTACAAAGATCAATTCAGGGAGGGTCAGGAATGTGTCGCACGAGGAAGCTGGAATGCAGAGAAGTCAGTCAGGAGTCTGCATGTGGAACTCGATGAGAGGTAAGGATGCTTGGCTGAGGAACCGGCAGTGAGACTCCAATAGG